AGCCAGAACTGAAATGGAGACTAGGGAAAGCTGTACACGCACTTGATTCCAGCAGGGCGAACCTTCGTTGTCCGCCCGTCGACATTGTCAGCTCCCCTACCGGATTTAGAGAAATGGTGATTTAATGAAAATTCCATTTAGTCAGCGAATGAACGTACGAACGAGCTAGATTTCGTTTTTCACCTCCTCCTTTTTTTTTTTTTCGTACCAATAAAATTTTCACTAGAAAGCCCTGCTGCCATCACCAGCAGCGCCGACGTTGCACTGACACAACAGAGACTTATCCACCCACTGGAAAAGGAAAGAGGGCCAAGGGACTGTAATGGCGGGTGATGAGGGGGAGAGTCCGGAAGCCTGCAGCCGCCGCCACCACCACTGGCACCGCTACTCTAGATGACTTCAACGCTGTTGCCACTGGCCTTCACTCAATTGGCCATTCTATTGCCGCTCGTCTAGCCGTAGGTCTGCCACGTTTGCTTACCAGGTTGTCCGCTCGTTCACTAGAAGTGAAGCCAAAGCCGAATCTCTTCTGCGTCTCGGCACCGACCAACCGGCAGGCTGGAGCGACCAATACGAGGCCTTAGTATATATTTTGAAGCTTGTTCCAGTGAACAACTTGTAAACAAAAATTGCTCCAAGGCACATTCTCTTACGTAGGCGTTTGACGGGAAGCAAGTGCAATGTGATGCTGTGCGACGCTACTGGTACAGCTTCAAATGTAATTCCTTTTACCAACTTCAAGCCCTGTAGTAGTTGCAATTGCTAAACTTTACGCCTCCATGTCGGTGCGGGCACCACTGGGTGATTGCTCGGCCAGCTAGGCAAGTTAAATTGGGAGAAAAAAAGATGTAAGTTGATTTGCAGCTAGTGTACTCTTGTGAACGAGTGCGTACATTGAGATACGACGAGAACGATGGCAACGCTGTCAGAGCACTGGTTTCGGTTCCCGTCGTTGCTGAATGGGACTTAAGGGATCGTAGCATTGGAAGAAGACTATCGGACCCTCTGCTAAGCCTTTGATTCGAACTGTCCTAAAGGGTAAGAGGCAAACTGGGGAAAGTGGTGTATAAGAAAACATCTAGGAACCAGAGAGGTCCTCCAACTTGACACATCGTTAGAGGAAGGGCGTACACAAATGCTGTTCGTATCGGCCGACTTTTGAAGGCATCGTGTCTATAGTAACCACCAGGCCAATGCTAAACCAGCTGCCATACTGTTAGAAGTGATGGCAGCTGAAGACGACGTTGGCAGCAGTTCCACTACAACGAGCATTACAACCTTAGTTGGCTTCGTCATTTTGGCGCTTGGCTACCGGTTCTGTTGACTTGCTCGGTTGCCTATCGCTAGTTTGCACAAGCCCTCCAACTAATGTGGCTCACTGCCTGAATACAGCCGTCCAACGCAGAGCGCGCCTCGGACCCTGAAACATGGACAAGATTTTAAGGGCTATAATTACGCTGTGCACCGAAACCACCAGGCAGCTTCCTCTCTCACATAACATATAGATACAGGTGACAGAAGCGTTCAAAAAAGCAAAGTCATAGCCTGTAGGCTTATTTATTTGTCTGTCTGACTACATGCTTAGTGTTCCTCAGATATCGAAATTTCGATATTACACTCGATCGACCCTCTGTCGATATCACTCAATTGAGCAGCTTATGACGACGCATGTAGTAGTTTCTGTAGTATTTGGCACAGAACTTATTCGCGTCTTTTGATTTTCCTTTTCCAGGCTATAAGGTACCATAGGCGACGACTTAATGCGTAGGTTTTGAAGTATACGCAGTTTAAATACAAGGGCAGTACGAGATAACAAGTAGTAAGAAAAAAAAATAGAAAAGAGAAAAGAATGGCAAGGGAAAAACAACAGTAGAAAGGGTCGCCTAGAATGGTCGAATATCTTTACTTTTTTTCGCCCATATTGTCTTCCTGTAAGTTGCGTTTTTGCTCTATACGTGTTCATGTGGAAGCGCGACTGCACGTGTTGGTATATGCACCTGCTTAATGTATAGCTAGTAAAGTTCTAAGTTATCACGAGGTTAGACAAGAAGCTGTCCGCAGCTTTCCGTTCTGCCCTCCGGGAACAAAAGTATTCCCTTATGCGCATAGGCGTGGTGCTATCCTGCTGCGACACGCCAAACTGCGCTGCTGGCTCGAGACTGTATCAGTTGTAGAACCATTACCTATGACGGCCTGTTCGAGAAGAATGCATGAGTCTTTTGAGGCTACGAGCTATGTCTGCCTGAGAAGTTTAAGACTGCCCCGTCCGCAAGCTATAGAGACTTGCTGTGCCTTCAAGGATATAGATGACGAAGAACTTGGAGGCGGTTGTGCGCTGTGTGCGTACGTTCTGTGTATGGAAGCCTTCAGAGCTTGCAATGACAAGTAAATGATGGAGGGCTTAGCCGGCGTCGCATGGCAAAGTACGCGGCCAGCGGACACCGCGTCGCGGCGGTTGGAAAAGGCCTGACCAAGGATGATGCACAGAGAGTGAACGGAAAAGAGACAAGCCCGCTACCAAGAAGCAGAGTAACGGTGAATGAGATGCAACGGCGTTTGTAATGGACGACGGCCAAACATGGCACGTGTTACGATTTTCAGGCTCAGCCGTATCTATAACAGACGCAGTAGCATCTCCAAGGCGCTCCCTTCACTTTTCATGCTCATTCCCTGTAGAAAATAATCATACACACTTCGTAAAGCCTATACTACCATATGTTCTATAGACTGAGAAACAGTCCCGAGTTCTAATGTCAGAATCCTTTGCGTCGAATTTGCGTTTTCTTGCGTTATTTTCCGTCGCTCTAGCAAATGGTTACATCCTGTGATTCACATAATTTCACAAGCTACTGAAAGATAGTATGTTTATGCTGATACCCATTAAGCCAAACGGTATTCACGTGGCTGATCCGACCTATTGAACAATTAAATGACACTAACGGCTATTTAAGCCATAGCTTTATATAAAAGATTAAGGTATATATAAAGTGTAATTTCCTAGCAAAACGCTGTTGGTCGTCGGCAGTCGAACTATGACCGGGTACGTGCTAAGCCGTTTCCAATATATGGAAATTCATTTTATCACAAGCTGCCCTTCTCGAGTTAACTCTTCCACAGTGCACGCCCGGCCCCACTCCTGTAGCCAGTCAGAGCGACGAGCGCATTCTTTGAAAGGTATTCGCTTAGGCTTTTTGAGAGAACTCCGTTGGCCTACGAAATTGGCGACCGGTCGTCGCTGCTTGCGAAATCCATTCGAGAGCTGACGGGAAAACTCAACACGGTCGGCGATGGTTTGAGCTTGGCCTACGAAGCTGTCGTTTGGGAGGAACCGAAACGAGACGCCAGACCTCAAAGTGTGGGCGACATTAGTGTTTGGTTAGGCAACATGGTTCTAAAAGACTAGCGTCTTAGGCGTCGACCAACGCAGGTAGTGATATTGTGCTGTCCATGAGTTTATTGAGCTTTCGTCCGTCAATTTCCACCTCTTAAACCTCTACCCTTCATGTGAATGATGCGGCTAGACTCGTCTCAAAATATTAGCCTCGTTAAATTTGTTATATCACATCTCTATGAAATGGGAACGCAACGGAAAACGTGACTGGGAAAAGTACAGTAAGTAAAACGATTTAGCAAGTACTAAAATTAAAAAGGGGGAAGCTATTGAATGTCCTGTCTTTAGAGAGCAGTGCATGTATGTGTGTGCTTAACTCTATACGTGCTTGTATCTGGGTAAAGAAACCACATAATTGCAAAAATCTCCTATTCACCTCTTCTTGAAACTAATGCATCGAGAGTAGAGTTGGAACCATCTCTCTGCAAGTTTTGGTCTCTGCTCTCACGCTTCCTGCCTTCCCTCTGAAGAAAGACTGTCCCAATAGACGGACCTTTTTAAGTTGTGGGTGAAAAGATCCATTGAATTGAAGAAGCGTGCTGAGACTAGTAGAACGGAAGGCGTAGCGGGCGGTGCGAGAGCAATGGGACCAACAAACGCTGAGATTTTTATGAAAAAAATGCGTGAACAAGAGCACAAGCACTATCGTCCTACCTTGAACGACTTTTAGATGCCAATATGTCACATATATACGATAGAAAGTCAGTAGAAAAATGAATAAACGATGTATCTCCTTCTTCAATTTTGTTGTTCCCTCAATTTGTGCACTTCTTATTGGTAATGGGTAACCTACGAGTACCACTTGATGACTGGCCACTGATAAGACATCTCTTTTGTTGGAAGTAACACTGGTAAACAAAGCGGTTTAATTTAATTATGATAGATTTTTACTAATGGCCCGCTTAGGTTCTCGCTTTCCGTAGCAAGGCAATGAATGTTGCTATTTTTACGAAGAGCCTTTTAGCTTTTTGTGATCTTGCTCTGACTATTATACAGGCTACCTGATATAAGTAACCTTTACCTTAGTGTTCCTTTACTAATTCCACTTGGAACCGCTGCCTGTTTCGTGCGTCGAATACGGTTTGTGAACTTACATTATATATATATTTTGCATGCACTATTCAACGGGTATTTAACATTACACAACTAGATTACCTACACTTTGGCAAGATTGCGCAGAGGCCTATCAGGGGGTAATTGAAGCCACGAAAGCTGTTGCTGCCAATAAATAGCTGGTACTTCCGAGACCTGCTGTATTATTGTAAGGCGTCGCCGTAGTTAAAGGTTGTCGTGTGTGGACTGGCAGCAGGTACCATTAGGAACCTTTGTTATTTTGACCGATTGACATTGCTCCTGGACTCGAAAAGCACAATTAGGATCACGGAATTGGGGACGCAAAAAACACTCCACTCAACAAACGTACCTGCCCGCACATACGCTTCTAATAAGAAACACAAAGAGATAGTAAGAATGAAATTGCGCAATGTATTGGTCATCAGAGCTAGTACTTTGAGCTTTAATCACCATTATGCTATTTTCTCGTATAGTATGTTTAACTCCTATGTCTTCTAACGTCTAGCTTTGATTTTGAATTCTTTTTGTTTTCTAGATGCGCGGCTGAATCGCATCATAGGCGGGGTGGCAGACAACTGTGTTCGGGCAGATGGACCTAAACGACCAAGTTCTTCGAGCAATTGCCCACCTGAGGAGCTGCTGCGCTCGCAGCGGCCGCTTTGTCGACCATCCTCAGCCCAGGCGCCAGCATCGAGTGTTGTAACGACGGCAAGATGTCGGTCCCTGACGTCGTTGGCGGGGTAGACCAAGCGAACAATAAGGCTAGTACTCACATGACGATGTTGCATTAGCCAACGAGTGTATTTACCGTGTTATTATTTCGTCTAATTAAGTACATGGTGCTTACGTAACACCTGTCCTTTATTAAATGAACACAAAGTAAGAAGGAGGTCTACCTGTGCTATCAAACGTACAGTTAACGATGTTGAAGGAAAAATCGATATATTCCATATATTATCTAGTAATAGCCAAAGTCAGCGAGATATATTAACCAAGATGCACATTAGGATAACAAACGGAAATACAACGCCTTTGAGTATACCAATATTCAATTTAATTTTTTCAAGGTCGTCTTTTATGTTAAAAAAAAAAAGTAGTACTATTGCATTTACAATATTTTAGAAGTTTACAAAATTGTTGCGCTTGTTGTAGTAACACGTTCATACACTTGCTAATAACCAGATTCATTCATGTTTCCAAATGTTCAAGTCTTACTAAAGTTAAAAATGATTTTTACTGAAATATACTAAATTTACCCTTTATATGTCATACACGGAATAAACAATGTTAACTAATAAAAAAAAATTATTTACAGTAGTTCTGTGTCTTTGTGATTGTATTCTGTCCATACATTAACGCTCAGTACTTCTAAACGCTTACGGTAGAACCTACGAAACTAAAAAAAAAAACAAATTGAGTGCATTGCAATAAGCAAAACATACAAAATATTTACCATATCTCTGAACTACGCTGTACTGAATTGTTCTTAGCTTACAAGTTCCTAGCAGTCGGAAGTTAAGCTGTATGTTCGGCGTATGTCCCCGAACACAAGTTATCTGATTTAAATGTTAGTCTACATTTCTTTTTATTTACTTCAGTATCTTTTGTTAAAAAGTCTATTTATTAATTGGATTTCAGTTTCAAATGAAAAATATATTACAAAATGAACCAACATTTCTCTGCTAGAGTACTTGTATGTGCGTCAGGGAAAGTTCCTCGGCCTGCAGCTGCACACTCGCCTTGCCTTAAAAAATATCACGCAACTTTCATGTTCCCAGTGCCACAAATGTTTAGCGCGTTGACGTTAGTATAAAAGAAATTCTATTTTTGACATCCTGCTAGGTGTTTTATTCTTCATTAAGTAAGTAAGACAGGTTAGAATCAACTGAAGGCGCCGAGTAGTGCTAGAAAGAATCTTCGCCGAACACGGTTGGAAGGTAAGTGGGGTCGTTGACAGCACGACGGGGTAAGCATAATATAAGGTACTTTGGTACCGCAGCAGGCAGCTGTTGTTGAAGGCTACCTGGCCTAGATATCGTTTGCACGAAGAACAAAAAGAGAACGATGCCGGTACCATGTCTAAAGCCGCGAATTCTTTGATTCAGCTTTGTGCAAGAAGAGGTCGGAGTGAGGGAGATCGAGAGCTCGAACGACGACTTGCGGCCTAAAAAAGCGTAAAACCAGAAGAATGGCCCCGTCACAGAACAAAAAGGAGCTGTGTACGGCCGATCCTGGACTCAAGGCCTTGAATGGAAGGGAACGAACTTCTGTAAATCTAGGACAGGAGCAGCGACGGTTGCAGCAGCAGGTGAAAGTCGATGTCTCATACCCTGAAGCAAAATGGCCAACTCCGATGTGAGGGTCGCTCGTTTGGAGCTTTCAACCAAAAATGGCAGTTTCCCGCCATTCTACATACACTCAGTTCTTCCGTCCTTTTCTCGCTCACCGGCCCGACTTCACAACCTGGACAATTGCCCTTTTCCTTCTCTGTTTTCTCTATCCCTCGCCTAACAGGGGCAGGCATCGTTCTTGTCCTATAGTTTACAACTGCACGACGACCGCACCAACGAGGTGGCGGCTTTTCTGCGCACGCCTGGTCAAAGAATGGGACTCGTTGGGGAGACAGACGATAAAGAAGGAGCAAAAGGACAAAAAAAATGGCCCGAAAGCTGGACGAATCCTGAATCATGAAGGTGAAACACAGTGGAAGCTTATGAGGGAGAAAGGACAGGGGACCACGAACGAGAGAATGCGCATCCGTCGTCGTCCACCACCAGTCACTGGGCCGGTCAGCCAGTCAACGAATCCCCATTTGACTGTGCTGCTAGGAAAAGCGAACCAAAAGAAAGGGCCGCTGCGTCGGTGCGATGCGATAAAGTGGTACGTTGTAGTAATTACCTCGCCGACTGTCTGGGCGACGGACTACTACCCAACGCAGCCGGACCCAGTCGGCGCACCAGTGCGAACAGACCACCGTTCGTAGACTAACCAACTAAACGTCGAACCGCTTATCCGTTCACCTTCGTTGAGTGAGACAGCAGCTGAAGGCGGCAGATTCGCCTTTTCCTCCTTCTGCGCCTATTCCTTCCGAGCGTTGATAAGTTCCGTCAGCGTGTGACGACGGAAAGCCATCCTGCAAGCTGCTTAGCCAGTCAGAAACGACCGATACTCTGCCGCCCTGTGTGTAGTTGGCAGAAAGGAAGTCACTTACAACCAAACGGTAACCGGAGAGAAGTAGAGATTGGCTGGTTGAGGCTTGCCGAGCCCGATTGACTGGATCCTCGCAAAAGCCTGGCAGTGCAGTCCTCCGGGAGTGCAATAGGCCAAGGCAGCTGTATTGCCTTGTCACCTTGGCAACACGCATTGGGAACGCTACCCTTGAATGCAGAAGGCCAGACCGATACCCGTTGGTCCCACACCAAATGAGACCCCAACAGAGTCCGCCTTACTGGGGTTGCCGATAAAGGCACGAAAAGTCGGCTACAGCAATGTTGCTTCACAAACCGAGAAAGAGGCAACCATTGAGCTAACTACGTACCATTGCTGCGGACAAAGAGGGACGGGCGATATCCCTTTCATATAATCTCCAGCATATGCAGCAGTAGCAGCAACAACCCGGTCAAGCTTTCTTTTATCATTATTTCTTTTCCTTATCTCTTAGTCACCGTGAGTTTCAAAGGTTAAAGCCATCGTCGCTATGCTTTCATACGAACTCTTGGTGATTAGAATTGCATCAAAAGAGGGCGACGGTACACGATTGCTAGAAGGTTGCTGCTGTTAAATGCAGTTGTACACTGTGAGCTCACTAAATTCAGTTGACGTTAAGGGATTCATGTACATAACATGCAACTGGGTAAAAGCATTATCGAGTAACTTTATGGCAACAGTCCGTTTGTAACAATAATAAAATTAGTACCTGCTAATCTTAAAGTTAGCTCAGGTTTTTTTCCGAATTGACAGCCACATTCTCACAAATGAAAGAAACACGTTACGTGCTAGAACAGAACTATACAGAGACGGTAAAGTAATTGATACATCTCAAGCATTGTCCGCTTTTCATTTGCAGGTCGAGCAAACTCCGGAAAAGGATGCGGGAGGCGATGCCGCCGGCAAGGAGGGCGTACCACAGACGCCATCGCACTTCCCACAACCGTCCAACGCCACTCCGCCCCCCGGTAGGTTTCCAGCAACAAACAAACTGTAAGATCTAGGACCGTCTCGTTCAAGGAATACACACTGCCACTAACAGAACTTTTGCAGATACATCAGTTTTTATAGTAACATACGCATGGTCAGTCTATTTGTGCATACCTAGCCCACCACAGTTTGTTGATATTGCCTCTGGATCCAAGTGCTATGTATCGACAAAACATATATTTGCTTATAAAATCGTACAATACTAAGTTAGTGTTAATAAACACAGATGGGTGCATACATCTATACTCGAAAAACACTAGGAATGGGATTTGTACGCCAGACGGTAACGGTTGTAATGAAGCCGATGACTGAATGCTGGGGCCATAACGTGGCTCATGCCGCAGCGATGACCGTGCTGGTCGCTGTGATTGTTAGAAGAAATACGTCTTCAGTTGCCAAAAGAAGGCTGCTACTGCTGCGAGCCGGCCGGCTCGCGTTTCCCTATGTTCATTATTTGTTTTACCCTATTCCTCTGCCTGTTCGATGGCGGGAAAGGGCTCAGGTCTTCAGCACACCCATTCAATGCAGCCCGGTCTTACAAACCCAGCAGCTGCCGCTGAACATTCCTGCACGTGCTAAAGACTACGAGACAGTACAGTTTTCTGTGCAAATGTATGCACGTACGTGTGTATATGTATGTATGCGCATTGTGCTAGTAGCATTAAAGGTAGCGATCGGAAAAGCTCTGTGGCGTTCATATATCAATTGGAAGCTTGCTGGGGAACGGCTCGTCTAAAAGTTTTGGGCAAGCATTCTTCGAAACAATCTCTTTTTCAGTTTTTTTGATTCATTTACTTCTTACGAGGTGTGAATCTGTTTTGACCAAGACAACAATAAGACGAAATGGGCAGAGAGACAGGAAAAGAAAGAAAGATGGAAAAAGAAATAGCGCGTAAAAAATCGTGCATGCAAATAGTAAACGATCGATTTATTTCTCTAGTTCTCAACAGCATTCACCTCACCGTACTGTATTTGGCCATACTTCAGAGCTACACGCGTCGTATCGTTTACTCTATGTACTACGGCAGACAGGTTAAATAAGTTTATGAAAAGCCTTAACGTTTAAAGTACTATGTTTAGAGGAACAGGTGGAGGAAATAGCTTGCAAGCGACATCTATTTTATGTTAGGAATATAGCAGTTGCACTGCGAAATACTAGAAACGTAGTACAACAACGATCGAGGATACGAAATCGCACGGGACGAGTCAGCAGCTATTAAAATTGTTCTGTTACAATAACGTAGCTCTTCCGCTCCGTTCCTATCAGTTTAGATCGTGACGTCCGCTGACGCATGTAGCCGATCTCGGTTAGGCCGTTCATTGGTCGGTAGGTTGATCCTATTTCAAAAATGCTCGTTGGTATAGCTGTCTGTCGAATTTCTCTCTCTTTTTTTTTGTTATCATTGCATCTCAAAGTCCGATCTTCGAGGCTTTTAGAAGTTGTTGACTACTGCACCTCCGAGAGCCATTTGCGTGAGCCGTGGTCAGTGCAGCAACAGAACCAGTGCGTTTGCAACGTCAACAGAGGTAGTAAACTGCGCCGGCCGAAAGCTTCCCCGCTAGCTCCGCTTGCTAGTTTGCTTCCATCTGCTGTCTAGATATAACCAAGTAATACGGCCGGCCAATAAAATGACCATGAATATATTCAGCATTGTCTTCCTCATTCTGAGCTTGCCTACAACCATTCTGTGACCTTCGTTCTGACGCCTCCAAATCGTAGAAAGGCTTCTTAACTTTATCAACATGCTTTTACCCGATTTAGCTGTTCTGTGTACCGATACGATCTGTTCGGTAACAAATATACATCGGCCTTTTGTCGGTGGTGGCGATGGAAGCGGTGCCGACAATAAAGTCCCCCGACCTTGCTTCCGTGAGAGTCGCCAGCAGCAGCAACAGGGCAATGGTGCCCCTATATAATACCAACAGCCCGTGCAGGCGAATAGAGCAGACTCTGTGACGATGACTGCACGCCGGTAATACTTCGAACGCACACGCATTGTGGACTGTCATATTTAGTCACATTTTTTCTGCCAGTAGTACTATTGCTAAAACTAGACTCTCGTTCACCTTGTACAATTGTGCCGCAGATCGAGCCACAGATATGACGACGCATTGAGTGTAAGTGGTGAAATGAGTCTACAGATGCCTGCTTGAGTTAACGAAGCACGCCGAGCGCCGCTCGTTCTAAAGCGGACGAACAGAAACGGTCCTCAAAAGGAATGTGTTCTTTCTCCCGGACGTAAGAAACGGTACGGCGAAGCAAACAAGCGGTACGCAAGGATCTGAATGAAACTTTTAGAATAAGAAAGGATATCAGAAATCATATTTTGCTCCCCGTACACACCTAGGTAAGACCTTGCTGCTCTTGCCATAAACAGGACGGTCGACACATAAAGAACCGAGCGGTAAGAGACTCGTATTTTTTACGGCATACATAGATTTCCGTAACTCCATCAGTAGCGGCAGCAGCCCGTAATAGCAGCGATGGCGCCAGTAAATAACTGTCAGCAGCATTCGTCCACCGAAGTCCTAACAGTCGACCAGTTATTTAGCAAAAGACCATGGTATAGTTGGTGGCGGATAGGTAAGCTGCGGAAGATTAGATGAATAGCCTCGCAGCATCTGCTGCCGTTGGTGACGACAGTCCAGCTGGACAAAGACGCCTGAAGCTATGTGGATGGCATAGGGAAACAACTCAGCATTGGAGACCAAGCGATGAGCAGTGAACGCCGGTGATGACACTAGTCTTCCATTTTCCTTTCGTGCTTCGCCTTCGCTAACTCAGGGTTTGATCATCGTCTGTTACTGCTTTCAGGTGGTGCTTTGCACTTTCTTTAACTTCGTGGTCTTTGGCAGACCTTCATACGTGTTTTCCTCCTGGATCAACAGTCCCGATTAGTGGGTGTCCCCTGCAGCGAGGGATGGGGTCTAGGTGGCGTGCTTTCTACTATAAACAATATATGCAGTTGCACTTTTCTCTCTCCCTAAAGAAGTTACTCCTTTACTGTGGGCCCGGCGAACAGCCTGCTGCTTCGTTCCTTTGCGTTCATTCGTTTGTTTTCTTCGAAGCGGACTTTTTTTTAGCAGGGCGACATTTGTAGAGTTTATTTCTTCAGGGCTGTATCTCTCTCTCTGTCTTCAGTCCCCGTCGGTTCTTCGTTACCTACGCAAGCTGCTTTATACGGAGGGCTAAGAAGATAGGAAAAAGTACCCTTACCTACAAAACTTTCCTCTATAGGGGGGCAAGCAACAACTCTTCCGAATGCTTTCTTCGGTGCTCCAACAGTTCCAGCTAAAGCCGTTGCAATACGGACACTTGTATACACATATATAGCACGGTATACGTTATGTGTCATTTGTGGTTATGCTAAAAGACCTGATCTACATATAATAAAGCAATGGATCCACTTATATTTACACGATGTATTTATTTACACAAGCGTCAAACACAGCCGTGTATACTTATGGGCTTTGATTCCAATTTATTGATACAAACATCGCCGGTGCTTTCATTCTGTGTATCCTCCGCGTGTGTTCTTTCACTTCGTTTTTTTTTTGGTTGAATGTTCTTTGTTGGGTATTACAGGGATCCCGCCAAACGTGACGTACATTGAGCCACTAGCCAACCTCGATTTGACGGCCACGTTAGCGCGCCGGCGACGCGTCCACTATGCTGACCCTCCAGCAGCTTCTAGTCACTCACAATGTACGGCGGCCATCCGGGACGCACTTTCTGCTCCTAAACAGGACCTACCAAGCTCAGCTGCCAGCGACATTACACCCCTCACCTCAAGTCGGGATCACCGTGAACGGAGAGACTCTTCCGCCACAACCGTGGGCGTCGAACAGAATGGGGGAGACTGCAGCGGTCAAACCCCACAATCACCATATATCTCTGGTACGAATAAAAAGTTTTTGCGTGCACGCAAATTGTTAAGTATACACTATGGATGGGATATCATCCATATACACACAGACCGTGAAAGGCGCTTTAGCGATACTAGACTGGTGCGATATATTCTTTTTAGTAGATAGTTATCCATAAACGAAACCTATGAGTATGGAAGCTATTTGTTTATCACAAAAGACGTCTGGATTTGTTCCCATGATCCTATTAGTCAAATCAAAATATGATTCTTTTACTGGCTTATATTCCATTACAAAGGCTGGACTTCGAGTAGGAATACTTGCTGAAGAAAATAAAGGCAAGATGAAGGCCTAAGGTGTAATGTTTTTCAAGGCTTAAATATGGCTAGCAGTCCTCTTACAACTAAACGTATTGTACTGACCTGTATGGGCCGTATAGCGAACGTTGAGATTTGTTCAGCACATAAGGAGGAAGCTACCGCAAAGGCCTAGTAGAACCAGTCGGAGGCAGATATCCTTCGTTCCAGCGTTTTGGAGCCTTAGCGAGCTTCCGGTCTAGCCAGTGGCGATCTTTCCCCGTTGTTGTTCCCAATGGCCTCGCATGCCGGCCTTTTGTTAGGTTGGGACAATTGCAGCATGCAAAAGGCAATATGCTCAGGGAACAACAGTCACATTCTGTACTTTTTTTCTGCAATGCCCTAAATATCCCGAACAATAGTCTATGTCCGATATCCCAACGATTGATATGCTGGCACGGATCATGCACACGACCACATAAAGATGAGTCTGTACACGATTTTTCTTTTGACACGAACAAGCTATGTGACGGAGGCCAATCCCCGTTGAATGACGAAACAGTGGCCGGCTTTATCTAACTAGAATGCGAATCCCAACTGAATTAGAAAGCGTAGCTTCAATAGAAAATTTTGCTTAGTTTGCTTCTGCAAGCCTATTCTGTACCTGAAAAGAAAGCTGTACGCAAAAGCATCGCTCATATTTCTTCTAACTAAGACATATGTAAAGCATCTATGTCTTGAACTTGAAATACACGAATCCGTTGTACTAGATTCTCTTATACTAACAGCATTATTATACTAATTATACTAACCGCAGTGTGGTCGGGCCAATATTGAGTAACATAGTATTTTTCAGTAACTCTTCTATTCACCAATCGATAAACCTATATGTATATCATTTTCTTTTTGGCTAAATTATATCATCATAATACAAGGTATATGATCTGAAGGACTAACTTAACGTTAAAGGCACCTCTCCATGCTATGATGTCTGCTACTTACAAAGTTCCCTTCAAAGCTTCGTTCTATCTCTAGTGATAATCTATAACGATAATCTACATAACCTTGGTTCAGAGATCCCTTTTCGCTTGCTGATGCACCGCGCACGCAGGATCTATTTTGTGAAGTTCGATGATCGGGGGTGGGCGAGCTTTGCTTCAACGATCGTTCATCGTATTTTATCGTAGCGTGTCCTGGTCGACACTTTTGCTGAAGACAGGCAGAATATTAATGGGTCGATCCTTCGTTTTCTTCCCACTTTTATCATCTTTCTCGGCGATCTCGTTCCTTTGTCCTGCTTGGTCCTACATCATGGCCAAATGGGGTACTTTGCCATGCCGTCGCCTTCTTCCTTCCGTTCGTCCATACCAACCAACGATTTAACAAACCGATATCGTTGTCGCGGCGGTGCTGGTACCGGTGGATATGTTGCAGCGTCTGTGGTGGACATCGCGTCGCACTTTGCCGCCCAGAGCGGCTCCGGGGGTCGGCCACCGATCAACGCATCGTTGCCCTCGATCCCCAATTACTTCCCACCGCCCCAGGTGCCCCAAATGCCTCAAATCCCGCAAGCGCCGCCGCAGGTGGGTCCGTTGTCCACTCAGGTTGGTAGCCAGATGGGTATCGCTAGCGGAAACAGCATGCCGCCACCCGCATCACAGCAGCAGCAGAATGCAGCTTCAAGCCACGACTTGCTCAACCAGGATCCCAATCAGAGTGCGGCCACTCATTTCCAGGTACGTGTTTAGCTTCCTAGTCATAACATCTACGCAGCGATTCTTTTCATTCCTTCACACAGTTCAGTAGGGGCAGTAGTTGCGATAATATAAGTAAAAGTAGTAATCCATTCCATAGGTAGCCTTAAAGTTGTACAGCTGTTATGCTACTGTACTATATATTTGGCTGCGCTTCTACGCTCCACGTGGCTGTACCCTGCTTCCCGCCTATCAGCTGTGCGGCCCTTGCTTCTTTATGTTGCTCTATGCGCCCCTGCTGCTCTGCGGGTGTAAACTGGCTACGAGCGTAAAGAGTCCTGTATGCAGCAAACGGCGCAAATAGCATAGGTAAGGATGTATGTTGATGCTCTCAATAATAGACCAGGGGGCATTGGCCGGGGTCTGCCGCCCCGCCCACTCGCCTTTCTCTGGTGGACCTCAATTTGTATGGACACAAAGTATGATGACCAGAACTCGTAGCAAGGGCTAATCCACCTCTGAATGAACGAGCAGGCGAGCGAGCGAGGAATTCCATGTCTGCCGGCCAGTCAGCCGGGATGCTTCGTACTAAAAGAACGGGCGACCTGATGGGCTCGATGAACGTTTATTGAGGACCCTTTCCCGGAATGAAAGAACAAATAGGAGAGCGAAAAAAAATAGAACGAAAAACAACTGTCAGCTCTGGGGGGCGCCAGTCTTTATACCATATATATTTGACCGGGACGGTGGCGGCGGTAGTTCAGCCAAAGTTTACCGTTTCACTCGCAGCTAACACTCCCGACGGTTCCGATGTGTGGAGACGTATTACCCGACAATGCAAGGTTTGTTCGGGGGCAGCGATCGAAACTAAGGATGTGTTTGTTTCCAGGGTAAAAGGAACAAAAACGATCCCATGCCTACAAACGTGCCCACCCTGCTGCTACTACAGAATAACGGATGTATACGGTGGGTGGGAGGGATGCGGGGGGGGGGGGGTGGATGCCGAGGTTAAAACGAGAGATCAAAAGCAAAATGGGGTAACAGAAAGCTCTACCATTATTCATACAAAGGCGGTCATAGGACCTCCTAATCACTCTCGGCGCCATGGGATTTCGTTTTCGCCCATAAGCACGCGTACACATACATACACACGGACATGCAGAAGGCGGAGGTGAAGGTAACCTTCACCATGCCATATTATGCACTTTGCTTCACTCGATACACAGTGTCGTTGTTGTATTGGAGTACAACAATAATCAGTGGAAGTAGCAGTAGGGTATTTCTGTGGTTGTTTGCCTCTGTGCCAGTAAATGTGAGTTAGGGGCGTCGGGTTAGGTGGAAAGAAGATTGCAGGGTATAACGAGGGTAGCAAGTAGGGCAAGCGGTAAGTACACACCATAACCGCGACAGAGAGATGAAATAAGATTGAGACAAGTGAGGTATACATCCCTTTGTGAGCGCCTATCACGGCACCCGCTGCAGTTAGCGACGGAAGAGCACTAGAATGGGGCAAAGGAAGCAGCGGCGACCTGCATTGAGAGATTGGTACGATGTTAAGGGGACCACGCTTCTTCGGTTAACCATATGTCATCATCAGAGGCAGCAGAAAAGCAGGAAGTTTGCAGAATGCGACTTGCGCACATGGCAAGAAAAATGGGGTATACTTTTGGGTGGATACCTTGAATGTTGGCTTGCCTGCCGGATAACCTATTAACGATGAACTAAAACCAATTACACAAGCGCAGACATTTGGAAATCGATCAAAAGAAAGACGCCAGCGTCGTGATGGAGCGTTGACTGAAAATGGATTCTAAATTGGGTACGAGTAAAACTACAAGAATACGCAACATACAATAATGGAGATAATTTGTCTCGAGAATTTTCTGATGCCACATGTCTGGAACGCAAAACCATTTCGACTAAAAAAGATAACTAGGAGTCCCGTAAGCAGAAAATAACGACATATTCGTCTGATTTGTTAGAAGCTATGTAAATGTATGCAAAGGGCATAATCTTCACGACACACTTTTAGTTTATATGGCGGAGCCATGTCTTTCACGGACCCATATTCCTTACGAAATCGAGGTTCATCGTGCATCTAAGAATCATAGGTAGCATTATTATGTGGACAAGCAAGCTTCTGTTGATGTGTTATTGTTCACTGGACATCTCCCACTTCGTTATTCTCTCATCGGCGACAGACGGGCTCAGCCGCAGTCGTATGCCATAATCGTCTACATTTCCACAGAATGGCAACCGGATCTGTACGTAACTGAACTCCACTGCTTGCCTCAACTATAGGTTGCAAGCCATGTCAGACTACCACCCATTGTAATACCGATATCAGCAAAATTATACACTAACCAAACAGGCAGAACTCTGTCGCATGCCTTTTTTCATATCTCAATATACCAATATTCGAATAGCCTGTCCAACAACCTATCGCAACCCCAACTGTGTAGAATTTTGTGTTCTTTTATGAGTGTACACGTAAACTACAGCTTCATCCTAAGGTCATGTCCTGAGAGGCAACGACAGTACGTACTATTATAAATTAAGATTGTTATTCAGCTTCAATCTAAAGCCGTTTCTAGTCTCTATGTGTTCACCTATCTCTCTTTATGTTACTGTTACACTTTCGCTCACGATGAACGTACGCTAACCTGCCGACACCCGTGGCGCTCTGCCCGTGCGACTGTTGCAGGTGGGCGCACACTTACACCAGCTGTCGATGTCGGGTATGGGCCTTACGCCAGGCTATTTGGGAGTAGCAGGGGCACGGGCCGACCTCGCAGCATTAGACCCCTCTGCGGTAGGCGGCTACGGAGGCGCGTCGTCAACGGGCGGCTGCTGGGCGTGTCCGCCAGAGCTGGCGGGTGTTGGAAGGAGCGCCGGTTCCGCAACGCCCTCCTGTGTCCAGACGACACTTGCAACGATCCCCTCGCTCGAGGAGCTCGATCACTTTGAGCTAGAAACTCGTAAAGCGCTGCTCAACGACGTGAGTATTAGAGTGCAAATAGCTCTCATAACAATAATAGTTGTTTACCAGAAATAAATAGAAATAATTTAATATAGTAATATATAGTAATAGTAGTAATAAATTATTTCTCTCACCCAGAGAAAAAAAGTTCCTAAATAAATGTCTCGCAACGATAATACTAGTTATACTTTTAACGTTAATCTAGGAATACAAGTTGTACTATATAGATTAGAAATGGTGACCAGAAGTACATTAATCAAGTGGTATTTTAATAACAAACAACCAAAACTCCTTTGATCGGTAAATGCTCAACATCAAAATGTCTCGCGCTTATGCACCATATATAGATGGTGACAAAGGGAACTTGAACATAGTATATGGCTAAGTTGCTGTTATGTAATTATGAGTGTAGAAGTTTAACTGTTAAATTCGGCATAAAACTGAGTAGTTACGGCAGGTTTTTTGTACGAAAAGTATGCTAGCTTTCAAAAATATCGGTCCTGAGCTTTCCGTATATATTAAGTTAATGTATAATTAGTCCCAGTATGGATTTATTTCTTGATTTTCCAATACTTTCGTTTTCTAATAATAATTTATATATGTTTCTAGAAGGCGCGTTCGTGCTCTACAAAACTGTGTCATTTTTCCTAAATCAAGTAATCGAAAAAAAAACTCAGGATAGATGTGATCTAGACGACAAGAACTTCCATAACTTTTTAACATTGGAAAGAATGTGAAATAAGGCAAATATTAAAAGTCCTGTCCTTTATCATCTGACATGGTCCTTTAAGGCCCAAGATGAGGATAACATCTTGTGATTTTCGACAATCGCTATTCTGTGCGCTAATTTTTTTTAGAGCTAAAAAAACCTTCTAAATGAGCATAAGCAAGTGAATGACTGAAAATCGGAAGCAATAAACAAAATTGTTTGTTACTTGTGCATAAACCTACAATTTATATTAAAGTTAGCAGACTATGGAAGCACAGCATGGAAGTGTGGCGGCAACGGCAGTCTCAATACTTACATAGATTAGATACACTCCATGTCAGTTGCCGACCTTTCTCGGAGTTTTCTTAAAAGTTAACTTTGTCCATCCAACGTTCTTCGTTGATGAGCCGTTTACATGGAATTCTCTATAGATTTTCGTTCTCTAGAAATTGCACATTCCTCGTTATACCTCGTACTCGATTTTGACTGCGTGGACCTATTCATACGAACTCAAAATACCGCGTAATACCTTTATGCTTGTATGGGACAACTCCTCGTTTTCATTTATTTTCTCGCTCGCCACGAACCCAAAACGACGCGTAGGAACACTGGGCGACGTTTGAAAAATCAGGCTCAGGGAGACTCCTTTAAAAATTTGAAGAAGTAGGTCGCAGCACGGCATCGATATGGTCAGAGAGCGGGGGAGGACGAGTCGACAATGTGATAGGGTTTGGGTGCTCAGGCCAATGGAAAGAGAGGTCTGAGTTCACGCTGTGGATATGGCAGCCCTGACAGCGGTCATCAGACACGGTAAACTACCACTATCATTGTTCCATTTGCGTTGCTGTCTTTTCATCCACCAGGCGCTGAATCTTCCCTCGCGCAGGGCCCGCACAGCAGGTTTTATAAAGATGAAAAATGTCGTATCAGTAGAAGATGCGTAGCGAGCGGTGAGAAGGTTGATGCTAGATGAAGCGGCGCGGGACCCGCTGCCGCTTGAGGAGAAGATAGAGGAGTACGAATCGAAAGTCGCTCACTTCACTTAAATGCGTCTCCGTTTCTTCGCCGTTCTAGCATTATAGTCACTGTTGGTGTCGTCGCTTTCCTTGGAATTTATTTGTAGGGGCACGTATGGGTTTGCGATATACAAACACATAGGCACAATGGAGCCGATGGAGAGACGATGGCTACATCATTGCGTGCCTATATAGTTGACAATGGCCGCCCCCGTTACCGCATAGCGGCAGAGTATGGTTTAATTTGGCCGCAAGCACGCCAAAGTCATACACTTTAATCTGCTATTGCTGCCGTGATTTTGCTCACCGACCATATCTCTCTGCAAAAAAGCTTTTGCTTTTTGATCTCTTTCCCAAAACAAGATCGCATCAACGCAGCGTCTACAAAACAGACAGAGGATCCTAAATCAAGGATTGAGAGGAAGACTTTGTTTGTTCTAGACTCGTATATTCTTTCTCGGTCCGTTTTCGGAAAGACTTTTCTGCGCATATTCGATGAAGCCGTCTCTTGTTGGGCCTGTGCAGACTGCCTGAAAGGCGTGATACAATACGGGTGGTAATAATTGCTTTTTGTAGGCTTCATACTCGTTCGTAGTCCACTGTTGGTCCATCTAGGCTTCTATGCTTAATCGCTATGGCAAGCGGCAAATTGAAACAGCAAAGGACCAATACTATATGCACAAATAAACAACATATGATGTGGGGGTGAGGGCGGATTGTGGGGTGCAATCGTGAGGGCTCACACCAGCTGCTCAATATATCGAGAAGAATAATAAATAATAAAAACGCAAGCAGACCGCGCCTATTGAGAAACCTGTTTTAGGCTCTATGTATGTGTTTATCGAAAGGCTTTTCTTCTAATTTTAATACATGCCAAGTCTCGTTTTGAAAGTTAAGTCTTCTTAACCACTGCTGAGATGTTTTGAACAGCAGAGGTGCACTTTAATGTAATTGTCATTGATCCTAATTACCGTGACGAGAGCCTAATCACGCCAATAAGAATACCAAGTATGCAAACAGGTATTGTGGCCACACTCAGCCGCGGAAAACGATTTACGACTGGTTTGGCATGAATGCCTCAGGTTTGTAAAGCCTAGGTGAGAAAATACTCTAAAATAAAATAATGAGGAGTAAAACTTAAAAGCTGACTTAATTTTTTCTGTTAGTCATATGTAACAATTTCGACCTGTGCGTCCTATAGGTGGACGCAAACTGTATCTGACATGACACCTAGGTGCTAAGTTAGGTCTTTAACTAATGCAGATTACCACTCTGTGAGAACGCAGAGTCTGTTCATCAACGCAGCGCTCAACCCCCTCGGATCACCCGTACGAACCCTTTGTCGAAATGTTTCATAGGAAACATGGACGGTAAACAAATGCTTACCATTTAAATAAATAGTTGCGATAGCGTTTAAACATAACTAACTGGTTGTGTTTGACAAGTTTATTACTAGATAAACAATTAATTACAAAATACTTACATCAGCACAGCAACCTTAATTACTCAGCTGGCAAACAATGATTCTCTCAACAACCATAAAAGCATTGAAGCAAACGGAAGCAACATAGGGATTAATACCGAGTAACCTATAAATAATCGCTTTGATCCGCTCTAATTGATATATATATAATACAATGAAGATATTGCATGCCATGACCTGGGTCATGTCGACTAATATAAACGCTGATAACGATCCGTCAGGGTTTAACAGGCAGTCCTTGCTGCTTTTCGACAGCTTGAAATAAAGCTGAGTATGTCCTGTACATACAAGTAGAGTGGCGGGTAGTGATTTGTTAGTTCGCTGCCAATATTTCTCCTTTTTGGCGAAAAAAGACCCCCATTCCTACAGACAGGCAGACAGAGGAAGCACTGCCTTGACCTGAATCGTTGACATAGCTTGTGATCTCTGAAGTATTATCTCCTACCTTATTCGATATGACATACGAGGAGAACAAAAAGTTGTTCAACGATTGCGGCAACTGTTTATATTGTACGTAAGAGGGATTAGAAACAATCCCAGCGCGCGGCATTTGAATAGCAACACCCTTATGCCTGTCAGTGCTAAAGCCTCGTTCAACCTGTGAACGAAAAAAAAAAGTAGCGGACCAGGTAGCTTATCGACTACACCAAAATCTCTCTGTAAGTTTTCTTTTGAGTAGAAAGAAAGCAAGGTAAACTCGTTGAAGTAGCACTCAAATATGTTACAAACAAAAACAAATTAAATTCGTTGGTAACACCAGGCCAAATATATTTTACTCCAAAGTATCGAGGACTTAAGACGGCCAGTAAGTATAAAAAGTGCACAAAAAGTCTCAAAGGACTTGTTGTTGAAGCTGATTTGGACAACTCAATTGACACTATACCCCTTAAGACAGTCGGTTATTTCTATAAAAAAATATCCAGCTTTTTTAAAAATGGCTTTTCGGTACCTTTGAATGAGTTTTTAAAATTCATTATTATTATTAGAGAAGTATTCAGTCTTGCTTTTCAAAATTTTCCTCGCATTTTTTGGAAGCCTGATGAAAACTGGCAATAACATAAACCGTCGATTTCGGACAAAGAAAGAAGTTTATAACCCTCGTCCCGCGTAAACGCATTAGATAATAGTTAACTTTCGCTCAAATTCAGTTAATGACACATCTTTTTTTGCCATGACAAGCTTGTCGTTTTGTCCTAAAAAAGAAAAATGGCTTTCTTGTAGTACCAAGTGTAGCAAGTGGGTGCATATCGGGAGCGATAAGTAGTTCGCCGAAATATGTCCTAACTAGGATGTTTCATTTAACAATACATATATGTACATATATATTTTAGAATACAGGCTTGGTTTGTCTTTTATTTGACTAACAATCGAGCATTTGTGGCCTGGTTTAATGGCAGAAGTGGCGTCAGTTGTTCGACAAGTTTGATCCTGAAGGCTTCGGTGAAATTCCATGGGACGACTTCCTTCGTGCGCTGGACACGCCCGAATTTGAGGAGAGCATCGACTGTACAAAGCGGGAACTATTTCGATTGAAAGCTCAAGATCGGAGGACCAATGCCATTACTTTCGACGAGTTTATCGCTGTGGTTAGTATTTGCCATTCCCTGCAATCTGCGTAGAAGTAAAATGACTTAGTACAAGGCGCCTAGATTTAATTATCCTCTAACCCAGTATGTCGTATTTGCAAGATTTAATCTACAATGGATAATGTTATACTAACGTTATTGAACACCTAACGTCATGTGGATGCTATTGGAATAAGCAAGTGACACTTGTCTTATATAATTGTTTGCTAGTTCTCCATGTTTTTCTTTATTATAATGTATTCGATCTTCTCCCTGATACAGTTTGTAACGAAAGCTATATATATATATATCTAAATTCAAATATATATGCAAAGCGGGATGAGGGTACCATTTTCGTTTGTTTGGTCGTGCCAATTCTAACTTCTACGATATCGGTATCACTAATAGTTTTCTGACGACTTTCATGGACCTTATCAGATGACCCGCAAGCGAACGCGTTCGCTTGAGATGGCGGTACATCAACGCGACTCATGCGGCTCACTATGGATGCAGTCGCAACAACAGGCACCAACGCTGCAGATGGAGGTCATGCACGGACCGGTGAATATGGCCACCCTCAGCGCTATGGGCGGCCACCTGCAGAACATGCAGGCGTTGCAGAGCGTTGGCGGAATACAAACGCTTCCACACTCGTTGGGCCGTCAGATGGGAACGATGTCGCAGTTAGCGGCGGCGCATCCCGGCGGGCTGGTTAGCCACGTATGCACCGGGGGGGCACATTCGCAGCAGGGCACGCCAAGTCATCACGTCTGTGCTCATGTTCATCAGTCTAATGGTGAGTCTAACGCCGACGTTGGGGGGATGGTGAGGTCAGGAACTGACAACACGAATCACGCCAGGAAAACGTGATCCTTTAAACCGTATTCTTATGACATCTTTTATCCGTATTAAATAAGTTAATAAAAAGTCACTTTTCGTCGCATCCACACCCCTTAGAAACATGTTAGGATACACAAACCCAGTATGCAGTCGTTTATCTCGAACAGTAATCTGCCGTATCCTGTGTTGCAACTGCATACATACTACCATAGATTTTACGACTTGTTTGTTTAACAAGTATATATATAGGCAATCATATAATTGGCTTTATATAGTGTATTTTTCCAAGGCGCGTACTCGTCCATTACTAGCATGGATAGAGTGAACATAGTGTGGCTAAAAGTTAAGTATCAGTAAGTAACAATATCAGCGAGTAAGTTAATACGAACGGTTATAGTACCGCACAGAGCATGTTCCTAATATGAATCGTAGTTTTTCCGCTGTTTAAAGAAAGCCTGCAAAATTTACTCAAGGCCTTTTTTTGTGGTTTTGATGTAGTTAAATTCTACGTAGCTGTTGATGCAGTGACAAGTAAAACTTGTCTGCTAGCTCTCATTTCTTTCTTCGATTTGCCACCATTACGCCATATTGACCTCGACGAATCTTTACACGAAGATCTTTCCGGTACATGATTGTCGTTTCAGTACGAGTACTTAATAATCTTTGATTTGTTATTTAATAAAAAAAAACACAGCCCTTTACATGCAATAGTTATCGCTAAGTCTATGATCATAGATCGACGGGTACTACCGGAGATCTGGATGAAAACAATTGGGGATTTGGGCGCTGGCTATGACGGCATCGCGTGTGTTACTATGCCTGCAATGGCAAGCTAAAGGACGTCACTAACACTTCCTATAGATACCAGACTACTCGCTAAGTATAGATGCGGTCCGAAATTGGCTCCTGGTAAAAGGATGAACGGTCTGTAATCTACATGTTTAGGTGTATACCATTGATGTTACGTTGTCTCCTTCCCAGAATCAATGTACATAGAGAACGGCTGCATTGAACAACGAGCTTCATCGGGCTTCAATGGGAACCCGTACCTTGCAGCTTCGGTGGCGGCGACTGCGCTCGCTTCGTCGGGCGATACGACACAAAACTCATCAGGTTTGGACGAGTGCATCGTCCAGGACGACATACCGGTGATTTCGGTCCGGCGGGCCGACACGCTCTTTTCAAAGATGGTCAACCTGATCGGCGGTGAATTTCTACCCGAAGATCGCGACCGCAAATACTACGCCGACAGCTATACGTGCTGCCCACCGCCTTTGTTCATACTCTTCGTCACCATTTGTCAGGTACGTTTATATACATAACCGCACTCAGCTCTAGTTGTAATAAATAATATAAAACGCACATACTCCACTATGTAGGGCAAGTCGGAAGGGTATATTCTTGTGTCAACGTGTTCTTAAGTGTTGCAAATGAAGTTAGCCTTTACGGCTTTGTTGGGAGCAATACGGTATCACGTAAACCAGCAACGTTATTGCTACCAGGCAGGGTGCAATAAGACATGGACAACATGTGCGTAGATGGGTGCCAGAGTTACAGGCATTAGCATTAAAACAATAAATTTGGATTACCACTTCTGAAGGACACCTTTCATATAGACGACTGACTCAGATGGGATTTCTTCACTTATGCTAATGATTTTATCAATTGTGGCTACTTTTATGCATTGTCTAATTTTGTGGGGGCTTGCAGACGGCTTTTGCCATTCAGTTTGGACTAGTCCTTCCAACGTTGAACAGCGTTCAACGCAGTCCGAAGATTGTATTTTAACAACTATTTCTGCCGCTATCAGGACGTCGATCAAGGACGAAAGGGATTTCTGTAGGACGAGAAAGCTGATCAAGCTTTCGGTTTGGTTCGAAATGCATTACGCACATTTATACATTCATGCCCTCCTTTTTTCCTACGCGCATCCTTCGATGATACATTAATCGACAAAGTAGAATCGTTAGAGGGAACAGAGGACCAGAAACTAAAATAAGTGAGGTGCATTTGCTTATGAATTTTAGTAACGAACATATTTGTTCATGGATGGTTTGATCTGTTTCGTAAATAACTAACATTTTGACATAAGTCCGCTTTTGAATGTGCGTTAATAATAGTCATTGCATAAAACAGAAAAATACGTTAGGATCTTAAAAAAAATTTCCGATGAATTACAAGCTCGTCAGATAGATTTTGATCAGAATTGATACCCTAAACAGGTCAGATTAGTCTTCGACACAGATCATTGGGGACAGACATTGGGGAATCTCAGACTAGGAGCCCATGTGACATTGCGTTGTTTTACCATCCGCCATCTTGGATCGTTGGTCCGGTAGCGCAATGCCGGTCTCCCCTGGTTAGCAAGTTGTCGCTACACCTCGATCAAAAGATCATCATGGGCAAGGGCGTGTGGATGGGTTAAATGGACGAAGACGGTCATATTAGCGAGAGCAGCAGATTCCTTGTACTGACGAAAAGCGAAGTGGCGACTTGCTTTTTTGCTACCGTTCTATGGAGTGCTTGCTTACTCCCTTCTTGTATTCCTTTACATGTCCGATTTTGACGTTGCTCGCTGTTTTCGGATTCTACAAAGGGGCGGAACCCGACCCCATTTTGTTCGCATTCGCCCGCTCCCTAGTTTACATGCACACTTTCATTTGAACCATACCCTTACTAACGCTGTGCGGTGCGTAGCGTACTGTTCTAGCACAGCAACACGTGGCATCAAAAACAGCAAAACGTCCATTCAGTGCAGCAGCAGCCGTGAGGTGGCATTTGGGCTCCTTTTTTTTATCCACTTTCCTTTTTTTCCTATACGTTGTTTCTCTCAGTACCCCACTTTGCTTCATCATACGTTTTGCTTCGACCTAGCGACCCTCCCGGGCTCACTAGCTCACCCTGTGGAATAGCTAGCATCCACGCCCATTCCACTGTCTTTATGCTCTTTTTAACTATCGTGAAGGTTTCTCTTCTCTACATTTACTCCTCCCACCCCAGCCAATCCTAGCTGAATGCTTCATTTTCACCATGGGTCGCACGACGCACCCCCGACCCCTTGTTCCTACGACATCCTTTTGTTATCGCCTCAAACTACTACATGTCCCTCTACAGCACACACACACACACACTGTTGTGCACGATTACGGTTCTAATCGCTTGCCGCTTTCGTTCCTGCCTCTGTATTTCCTGCTGTGTGGTCCCGCCTTACTAACCGAATCCTTGCTCCTCCTTTTCTTCTATGCCATAGACGTTTTCTATTGCCTTCCATAGCTTGTTCTATCAACTGGCCGCTCGTCGCTAACAGCCCCTCTGACGTCCTTTCTCTCAGCCTGCCAGCGTTTCACCGATAGAGCCTAGCTTCATTGCTATAGCCCACCTAAACGACCGACTTCCAGCCAGGTAACACTTCACGGAAGCGATGCGACACTTTCACTCCTTTAGGCCTCTAAATTTGCAGTTTCCCTCGCCTATTTTTGAGTCGGAAGATCTATATGACTGACGATGTCGATGCGTCTTCGTTTGGTTTTCCGTGTGTTCTGGGGGGCGTGTAGGAGAATGACAAAGATCTCATCGCTGCGTAATTGCGCGCTCCGGAACACTGATTTGCCGGTCGCCTCCTCCGCCCCACCGATCTGCTGCGGTGGATACAACCGCCAAGATATGATGGTTTTGGTTGTTAAGCACAAGCACAGCGAGAGTAGCGTCTTCGGGCGATGTTTTTCTCCCGAGTTTATACTGCTTGTTGTATGGATGCGTCTGTGGGAATATGTGTCTTTCCTCTTCTACGACAGAAAAGAAATAGCGTGCTCACTCAACTCGCGTCGCTTTGCAGGGGGAGACTTGGAACTGAACCCCATTTTTCGCTTGCCTGCCTATTTATAACAGGCACTAACGCTGCTCCACTTGCTCAGGTCTCTCTGTTTCTGGTTTCTATGGTTCATGGTCTCTTCCTTCTGCCTGTCGTTCTGATGCGTTGTCCTCTTTTGCCGACCTCTTATTTCTTTCTTTGCAGATCGCCTTGTTCACGTACTACTCGCTGACGGTTGGACCTGCTGGGCTCTCAACGCCCATTCCCGCTCAATCCATATTTATATTTAATCCAGGATACAAGTTTGAGATATGGAGGTATTTTTCATACTTTTTGGTGCACAATGGCTGGTTACACCTCGGTTTCAACATCGTCATCCAGCTGTTCGTCGGGCTACCGCTCGAGATGCTGCATGGGTCATGGCGTATTGGTTTTGTATACATTGCTGCTGTAATAGCAGGTAAGCAAGAGCAGTTGTGTTGCAAATGTAGAGTTAGGAACATCAGGATATGCGAGGTTTTGCGCAATCTATTTACAGAATAATGCTACTAAATATTATATAACCTCTTAGGCAAATTAAGCTTATCACGAACGGGACTAATCTGTTTCGGTTTATCGAGACAAAGGCATCCAAAGCAACGTTATAGTCTAGATTTGGCTTTTAGCAGTCAATCGAATACCTAATTCTAAAAACTTGATCATGCTGTAGAGTGGGGGGTAGCAAGTAAGTTTTGGTTTACTGATCTCCTAATTAGATTCTTGAGCATTCATCTCGACACCGGCAAACTTGTCCTATAAACAAATGCTTTCACAATTGATCGCAAATCTCTTAGTATATACTTCGTCTCGCATTTTACCGATAGCACAGACATCTTATTTGTTACCATATGCTTTACTATCCTACTATTCGTAAACAAGAACAGTCTTATGGATTTAATTATACTATCATATTCATATCATAGGCACTTTAGCGTGACATGCGTTGCTTAGCTAACGTCATTTAGGAGAAGGCTATAGAAGTATTTTTTTTTTTAGCTTTGCGTGAGTTACGCTATATCAAAGAGCAGCTAGATCTCTGGTGCATTCTAGCTCCCGTCCTAGACCATGCCAAGTTAGCTTAGCCTGCTCCGCCTTTAAATCAAGATCAAGCCAAGATTTCATGGCTCAGGAGATGTGAGAGCTGGCCTGTTTTCCTGCGAAGCCTGGTAGTCAGGTAAGCTTTGCAAAACAGAATGATAAGGGGAAACCAGCGAGTACAAGTACGTAGACGTCATCATCTAAACAGGGCAACAGAGCTTGTAGCTGCTAAAAAGGGAACGTAGCATTCGCGTGCTTGTGCCTTGCGTACAACCATACGAGATGCCAGTGGTCGTACTGCTCAACCGTACACGCACTGTTAGCACCGCTGCTGCTGCGTATTTGGCTGGTAAGCTCTTTGGGCCATCTGCTAAGCTCGTCGTCACCAGAGTGCCTCCAGAGCCCCATAAGGTTCAATTAGGGAACTCCTCCCGCACTACCCGCACCTGTGCATCCCGCACTGCCAGACGTCGTGTAGCCTAGTGTGACCTGGCTTATGCTAGACGCATCTTATCTTATGCAGGCCTTTTGCCAGTTTGCATTTAGAGAGACTTCTCTCATTCTTTTACCTGCACCGCCTTCGATTGGGTTTCGTAATGTGGCAGATACGGCCCGCGTGTATATGCATCCTTTGATACGCTAGCTGCTAGGGGAAACCACTAGATGTTGTTAGCTGAATGGGCACACCGTCTACCTGTCTCTCTGTTTGTCTGTATGTGTGGGAGGGACGACCGCGTTTCCGCATTCACATGTTGTATTGTATATTTTCTCACTAATCTCCTGTCTCCCCGACTTATGTATCGTTGTCATTCACTTACAGGATCAGTGTTCTGCTCTGTAGTTGACCCAACGGCGTTTCTGGTCGGAGCCTCATGTCCAGTGTATGCGCTGTTGAGCGCTCATCTCGCCAACATTCTGTTGAATCACGACGCGCTATCAGAGTTCGGCCTGTCGAAATTCTTCCTACGGATCACACTCGTGTTTCTCCTCAGCTCCATCGACTTTGGGTTTGCACTGTTTGACCGCGTTTCGGAACCGGACGGGCTGATACTCGCCTTTCTCGGACCATTTGTCGGGGTTGCCTTCGGCGTATCAGTCGGTTGCGTTGTCGTCAGAAGCTACGAACGGAAGCTACGGGAGCAGTTGGCCTGCTGGCTGGTGATAATATTTTATGTTCTGGCTATATGCGGTGCCATTGTCTATAACGTGCTCAATTTCGACGCGTTCCGGCAAGCGTCCGCTGCTCTCTTTTAGGTTCACTAGTAACAGAATCGGTAACAATACGGCGTCGTTAAATGCTACTATCGACCGGCAAGAAAAGAAGAAGAAAAGAAAAATGGCGGCAGAGGGAAGGTCGCAAGCTCACAAAACTTATACCCAATTTGATGACTCTACTTACCATCACTCCAACCATAATAAATACAACCACGACCCTTATTCATCCTAGCGTTTCTTGCCAACTCTTTTCTTCAAGCGAAAAACATCTGGTTATGATAGGCAACGATAAAGGTCATGGCAGGTCAATTTCAGCGACAAGATGGTCGCTTCGTTCAGCTGTTACAAACTCGATCTTATTTAAGCAGCCAGTGCCGCGCTTAGTTAGTGAGCCGGGTACGGATTTCAAGTAGCCAGAAAGCTGCCAAGATGTCGGTAGAACTGTCCAACGCCTTTGCGAATGACTTCTAGAACGATAAACAAAATACCGTAATGAGCTCAATGGGTTTCCGTGAAAACTGAACCCACGCTCGTGTCGTATCATGCGAATATGTTAGCCCTTGTCTCTGCACATATGTATGTAGGAACATCACTAGTTCAAGTGTTAAATTTGGCGGATATCACTGAGCAAACGGACAGCCAACAACTGAATATGGAACTAGAGAGGATCGGGTGAGACAAAGCAGATCCAATGAGTTAATGAAAAGCCAGAAAAAACAAAAAGGGCTACGAGGACAAAAAGAAATACGAGAAACTAAACAATGTGCGCGGTGTTTGCCCGCGGGCACTGAGGGTTATCTGTTAAGTTTGTGATATTAAATTTGCATTCTTGTGATAGCAACAACGCTGCCGGTATCTGCCAGCGCTTCTATACAGACACACAAACACGAAGCAACAAATTATGTATGGTGCTTCTGATAATGATAAATGAATAGTAATGAATACATCGTCAGTATACCAATAATAACAAAGAAAAATGAGATAGTTCTGCATAGCGGCGCACTCAAACGTGTCGATTGTACACACTTCCTACGTTGATACGTTATATATATATATATATATATATATATATATATATATATATATAATATGTACAGAAATAAAAAGAAACGTTAATTTGACAAGATAATTAACAATAATACTATACGAGAGATAAAGGGAACGAATGTGAATCCTATTGAAACGTGATTGAAACAGAAACTAACATGGCGTAAATGTACATACGAGTCTTTGTGTATGTACGAGTGTATTGAGCATGGTGAATAGCGAGACATATTGCTCTTCCTGTTACATACACAATGATATTGGCACTGCATAGACGCTTTTCATACGGTGTTGGCCAATAAAGGAAAACGAAGCCGACGATGAAAAGAGGAAACTCTATAGATAACACGTTGCGGAGGTCGAATGGATACGTCGCCGCTATCGCGTACTGACGGAAGTCAAAATGCTACGTGCACTAAGGTGCGTACTGACCCACAATGATTCAACCGAAAATCAGATGAAAATTAGCCACTACACAACAACAACTACTAACACGACAGCTGTAACAGCAGATGCGGGAAGACCAGCACCAATTGATATGAAATCATTACAAATGTAACGCGACAATAAGAGATAAATTCTGTTTGACATTGACTGCATAGAAAAGATGCGATTCATCATTGCAGCGTAATAGTAGTAGTATTGTTACTAAGGGTAATTTGAATAACAATGTAATAGTAACGTTGAGATAATGACCATGAAAATGTTTATCCTATTAATGAGCAAACGAAATGTTCTCTGTGAAGCAGAGTAGCGAGTGGGCGTACGACGGGGTAAACCGGATAAGAAGCGGACGGACATTTAACGGCAAGCAGAACAACTCCGACCAAAGAGAGAACAACTGAAAATAGGGTAGAAATGTTACGTGACACAGTACATTTAGAAAACAGCGCCACCGAACGGACAAACGACTAATTGCAATAGGTCTGTATTTATGGGTTGTCTGGATGAATGACTCGGTGTGAAAGTCTGCTAGAGGAAAACGGGCGGGAAGGAAGACTGACAAAGACGAAAATCGGATGAGACGGAAGAAGAACGTGGAGTCTTACCATTGAGTCTGAGGCCTAAATAGGCTTCGTGTCTCACAGAAGTGCTGTCGCTGCAACAACGCTGATAGGAACTCTGGAGGGCAGTTTACCATGACCACGGACACGAAAAAGGCGGCAAAGAGTCCCGAAGAAAGCACTCTTCTTCGTCTAGAAAAAAATAGTGGGAAGCCAGAAGGGCTGTGTTTTTTTGGGGATCATTTGTACGGAGCTGTCGAATGGCCCACAGGTGGTACCGGTGCTATGGGAGTTGAAAAGGAAGTCGCTGAAAAGCCAACGGTGCCAGTACAAAGCCAAGCGGTGGGACGCGCGCCTCTTTGAACCTTTGTCTAGTACAACAGCAACAACCACAACAATAATACAACTAGAACAATAACAACAGTTAATGATAATAACAACAATATAAAAATAACAATACTCAGATTAATAACGCTCAGCACTCGTAACGCTTATTCTAAACAGCCCATGATCCCCTGCGATCTTTGAACAACTGTCGACGACAAGGCCATGCGGTCAAACATTAAAGCATCAATACCAACAACAAAGCAAATAAAAGGAAATCAATGGGACAAGGTGACTCTGGGTGTGAGAGGCAGGACACGACAAAGAAGAGGAAAGACAAGACAGTCATATGGCAACAGGCGCAATTAGACAAACGGAACATAATAGTGATAAACAGGGCACAGGTTACAGCGCTAGACGTAGCATGGCGGACTGATACGGCAAAATGAATTTTTCGATGCCATCTCTTTACATACAAGCGTATCTATTGTTCTGTCAAGCAATATTTGTACAATATACTCATGAGAAATCGATAAGCTCAAATTATGACAACATTATTGAGATTTTTATTTCGTTTGGAAAAATGATGAACTTGGGGCTTTCAAATACCTCATCCGTATGTACATAAGCTAGTAAATATTTTGTCAAGCACGTAATACCACCCCCGTTCTACTACTGTTTTGGTCGCTGGCATTGAAGGCCATTATTGAAGGTATTGAAGGCATAATTCAACATTCATTTGCATTAACCCATCACCTAAGCACATTTTTCACAGGACTTCCAAGCTAGAGTTCGCATCGGCGTTGAACTCCTCACAGCCTATGACTGCCGCGTCGCCCACACAACACGAAAACTCGAAAATTGACACGGAAAATATTATACACATGGACTTAAACACACACATACACACGCGCAGAGTGTATTACCAAAAAGGAAGTCTTTTGGATCTTTGAACACTATATATATATATATATATATATATATATATATATATATATATATATATTATCTACGTGAAGTAAACAATAAGCGACAAATGGAACTAGTGATGAGACAGGGGTGGCTGCCTGTCCGCCGCGGAAATGATTTGTTTGAAACTACAAAGAATTAACTACAATCGAGAAGTTCCAGAAGCAGTGGAATCGAAGGCTATAAAATATGATGATATATCGTATAAAAATAATGATAATAATGTCGTATCGTATATGTGGAGGTAACTAAGACTTCGGCGAAGCATCTTGTTCATGTAGATAATTTCACTTCTCTGAGGGGGCACTTTATCGAACGCTTATGACCATAACGCTATTGGTTAAGGTAATGACCGACAATTATTACTCATTGGAACAAAACTAATAATCGATTCGGGACGCATCTTGCGTGCTGATCGCGCACTCTTGCGCAGGCCTGCAAAAAGTGCTATGCCAAGCAGTGTCTCCGACGTGACGATCTAGCGCCATCTCAACCTTGGCGATACAGGATGAAAGAAAACGAAAGAAGTCATTGTGTCTGCTCAGGTGGTGTCTCCTTGGTGGCAAGGAAAGACTCTATAATGACAAAAATTATTATAATAATATGATTAATAATTAGAATGATGAACGTGCGCCCGTTTTTCGATCCGTCTATGTGGACGACAACGGACAGGGCAAGTCGGTAGAAGTCTGCTAGGCGATCGCCCGTCGCAACAGGACGTGTCAGTCATTGAAGAGAAACAACCAACAAAAAGCGAGGGCTGAGCGTGACCTGAACGTGACGGCCGTCCAATTCGATGACGTATTTAGATTAAATAATATACTATTGTAAATGACCACATACAATACATAAACAAAGAGAGAAACGAACACACAATGGGCTTTTAGCTAGCGATACTATATATATGCGCGAAACAGAAAGGTGGAGTAGGAAATGTCGGACACCTGCTGGAAATTTCAAGGCGCGGACTAGCCTGAGACAATAATAGGCTCTAAGGGTGTGAAAAATGTCGAGCCAAACAGTCTACAGGTGCATCGTCCTTCACTCCTTGTGTACAACATTTGCTTCTTCATATACGACAGAAAAAAGGAAAAGTATGGAGAGAATGAAAGGAAGATAACGAAAGAGGAAAACGAAAGACAAATAAAAAAAACACTTGGTCGACAATCACTCGTGTGTTTTCACTTCGCTTTTAACTAGTACTTCAAATATTACCACTGATGGCGAAACTTAGCTTCTAAGCCTGGCACAGATCTATGTCGCGCGGGGCGGTAAAATGCCTAGCGGCACGTAAGATTCGAAACATAGAGACTCAATAGATGCAGCGGTCGTATACAATCATGCAGACCTCTCTTCTGCTGTTTACGTAGAGGTGTTCATTGTTTTAAGATCAATAATGTTGATTATCAGTGAAAGTTCTCCGTAACTAGAGTATATCTAGAGTTCAGTTTGCGCATGAATTGGACATAATCTAACATACGGCTATTCACTGCTTGGTGTTCCCAGCGGTACAACATACCAGTCAGTTATGCTGCACACCATAATCTCCTGCACAGGGACAAAACCACTAGGTGATACTATAACGATGTCTTGGCTATTCAGAATAATTAATAAGGAATAATACCGTATCCGACAAAACATCGGATTAGCTTAAAACGGGCTTAGTGCAGCAAAAAAGGGGCAGAATTTCCATAAAATTGTTTATTATTTTCAAGGCTAGATGGGCTGCGTCTACTCTAGCTTTGCTGTAAGATATTGCTTGATTGTGAACTTCACTGATTGTTTAATTTTTTATAACAATCATAGTAATAGCGTTGTCAAATAAAGTAAGAAGACTCCAAGCAACCTGTAAGAGAGCGATGCTCATTTCAACGAATAATATTAGACCGTAAGTGTCATTCCTATCACCGTGTCAATATGAACTAGGGTAGAACAAGCTCGGCCATACTTTGTGTGTATGGTAGGCGAATGCCGTTAAGTTGTACAGCGTAGTAATGGCGGTAAGAGAGATAATATGGCAGAAGATTACTCAAGACGGCCTTAATGCCACAAAAACACCTAGATGGTGACCCAATAAGCTCCATCAGTCGACAATGTTACAGCGGAGCTGGGTGAAGTGTTACGGTAGCAGAACAGGCAGCTAATAGTAGGCAAGCAAAAGCCTTAAGGCCATTGGATTCTAGTGACGCGAGCTAGAAGTTACCATGCAGAGACGGAACAGAAACTGTGAGAAGCAAAATAATGAGCGAAACGCGTCCCCCTCATTTCGACCCCTTCTGGCCACCGTTCGACGGCGCTGGCACAACACAAAAGACGTAGGAGCTACTATCCTCTGCAGTCAAGAAGACCAAGTACCGGATGTTCTTGCTAAATAGTTTCTAACCATTAGGTAACTAAACTTGACCACGTATAGTTTCGTAAAGCGTACAGGGCAGATAGGGGTGAGATGACTAAAAGAAGATTAGAGGAAGAGTAGAGGCAAGCTAGGTACACCGAACTGAGCAATCAGCCGACCGGCTGGTAGGCTATTGCTAAGCAGAAGGCTCACAGGACCACAAAAGTGCTATGTTCTGCCACTAGGAGGACTGGTACTGGAAGTAGGCTATACCTAGACTGCTTAGTTGTTTCTAGCAAGCAAGCGAGGGTGGGGCTCAGGAGCGCAACGACGCGGATGCAACGTGTCCTGCCGGCTGGATTGGTTCGCCAAATGCATTAGGCCTCAACAAGCTCAGCCAGCTCCTATGCACTGATCACATCAGCACACAACGACTCGTGCTAGCCCGGGCGTGCTATCGTCCTTATAGCAAGGTTGTGCGAGTCGGTAAATTCTTCTACCTCCATAGACTTACGTAGACTGAGCGACAAATGGGAAGTGAGAGCACAGTCAAAGGGGAGACCATATAAAGGCCAGCGGAAGCAAGGATTGAGGAAGGATGATATACTGGGAAAGGCGATAGTTGCAGAGTTCCTAGTTAGGCATAGCAAAGAAGACGCAGAGACTGTCTTTTGCAAAGGTTGCTCAACAACTTAACAATGGTAAGCGATAAGTAAACCCCATAATGTACAAAACTGCTCTGTCATTGAGCTGAGTTGCATCGTTATTAAATTCGGTACAACAAACAGTTCTTGCTTTGTGTATATCAATATAGCAAATAAGCATATAAGTTATTAACAATATGACAGGTATTCACCAAACACGCATAAGTCTATCTACTTACTAATTGATTTTACACGCCTATACCTTATTGAATTTACGGAAACCGTTTCTTTGTTACGGCTTGGCACAGCATACAATAGTCAGTGCAGCTTTTAGATACGAGAAATCGACAATATGACAAAACTAGAGACGGAGAAGCAAGACATTTGCCGAGCTCAACAGCGACTTCCCGAAAGATCTCCGAAGGTTTCAGCGCGAGTACAAGTTCCCTAAAGATCCAAAATAATGCTAAAACAGTTTCAATCCTTCCAAAAAGGGGATCAGCTTCGCTGATATAGCGGCAAACGCCACTGTCGAATATATCTCTCTTTACACTACATAATAGTATCTACATTTGGATCTCCACATAAGAGAACGGTGAGACCCACTATGGGACGTTACCATTATTTTTTTTTACAATAACCCAATTACGATTTGACCTTAGAAATGATTCTATCTTTGTTACAAATGCACCCCGTACGCATTGACTACTAATTGTATACTCAAATGCATTGCCTGAAAACCTGCTGCGGGTTAAATGTAGGCTATTGCATGAACCAGCCTTTGAGCATCAACTTCAACCATTAGTGAAAGCGGTTCCCCTATAAAAATCCCCTTGCCTCTTCAGAGAATAACCATTAACAGTAACTCAAAGCTATTAATAAACACAGACGCGACTTTTTCGTTAGTACCAAAAATAATTTCTTACTACATAGCTCTGCGGTAACATAATGGCCATCAACAATCGTCAATAAAAACTCTAACGATATATTTGTACTCATCACAGACGATTTATTTACAAATATAGATTTTGCCGTCGGACCTTGTCAAAGGGCAAAATGAATAATGTAATTAGATAGAGTTCTCTTCACTTTCCTGTCGGGTAAATCTGCACGTGGCGATCATTTTCATTTGTCCGCTCCTGTATTAGTTGGTGGGGTTCCAGTGAAGCTGAAGTTATTGGATAGTGATCCGATGTATGTGAGATATAGGCTTGTCATTTGTATGTGGTAGTGGTAAATTTCGATTATTTTGCCTAATGTTCACGTTCCTAATTAAACAATTCACACCGATAACAGTGCCGTAATAATCTCACAAGACGGTCTCGAAACTATCACACCAGAAATTAACACATTTCCGACAAATCGCTCCTTCCTTTTATTATCATGTATTTTTTTTACCTTGTTTTTTATTTTCAATCTGTCTTTTAATTTTCCTCTCGTTCTCGACCCCATCTTCGTCTCTTCATATAGAAGAGGTGATGATAGAAAATCACAATAAATATATAGTTCCGAAAATAATAAATAGGAAGTCGCGTAAATATTAGATATTTACGTATAATTATATATAAAAATTATATATACATATAAACGTGTACATACACACACATACTCGTTTATATGTATATATGATTTTTTTTTTGCAAAATATATATATATATATATATGTATATACTTTAAGGTGAGAATTAGAGATTGCGGGAGCAACATCATTGTACGTTTGTGTCGGACACGTGCATATTTTTTTTCGTGTGTATGTGCGTGTGTTCGTCTGTGCTTGGTTCCAAAAAAAACACCCCACCACCCATTAGATAATTGGTAACGATCAGTAATAGCCAACAATCGTCACTGACCATCGTGAGGCCTTATTTCATATTCGAAACGTAAGCGTTGGTTTCTGTAAAATTCTGTTCTAGGGGGCGTGGAGGGGAGCACACGGCGGTGCTGCCTCTCCTCTTCAAGTATTTCACCCTTGACCTACCTCGTCCTCGCCTTCTTAGGGCAAGAACTGTTGATTGTATGATCCATAATGAAACGTTGTTTGTCAATGTCGTACTAAACCCGACAGGACTAAGTGGGAAATTACAAAGGGTAATTGGTGCATCTGATTTGTTTAGTTGGGTCCATTGGGCTACTATTCGTTAAAGGCTTTATAGGGTTATCCTTAGCACAACAACGTAGGTGTAGCATAATCTTGTCGATCTCCCGTCCTTACTATTAGCATCATTTGTAGCCTCAATCGAACTTGTGAAATCCAGAGCAGGACAGATACAATGCCAACATTGTCGGTAAATTATTTCTGACTATATCTCAATGATTTTGGTAGTCAAGTGATTTGGTGAACTACGGATACCCATGCTCATATTGTAAACCAATCTTATCTAGCAAGTACACGTGCACTCTTTGTATAATTTTGTTTCTGTAAAACAAAAGGAATGGTGTGCTTTTGCTCGGAGTCTATTTGGATAAAAAATTGTCGAGTCAGTATATGATAATTTGCTTCATTCTTTCTTATTGTTTTGTTCTTGCTTGCCCGGTATTAGCTTCGGCCGTATTATGAACCGTCAGACGGCGATCCGGTCGATACCGTATGCTGCCCTGGGCTACGAGCTCATCGTTTTTTGCCACCATCGCCCTGTCACCACCATTGTCCTGTTTTCTATCCTTCTGCCCGCTAATATCCTGGCAACGTGGGTAGGGGAACAACGGGCTCACTGTTTTGGCCCTTCTAGAATAAGTCTAGGGCATCAGCATTTAATCAAGGCTAGTCGCGATGTATAAGAGAGCAAGCGACCATGAAATGTGCTTTAGGCGGTTGTCTTGCTTGCATGCTGGATTCAGTATTTTGAGGTTTTGCTTGTCCTGGATCCAGTGGCGACTAACACAGGGTAGGCTCGTGACGCAGGATCCACTCCAAATTTCATCGTCCATATTGTTCCTTATCTTTGAGTATACAGTATAGAAAGTAACAGAAGAACCAGTTGTTTTGTCGTTAACGTAAGCAACCATTACGTTAGTTTTTTTTATGTTACTTTTTTTTTTATTTCTGATGTGTTTCTTCGTCTAGTTTTTTTAATGGTAGCACGTTTCATGCATAACCTACGATAATTGCTATTCACACTCATTTGGTGGAAGGGAGAAGAGCTACAAAATTCGTTTCCTATATTTCATTTGTTTATAATTGTTATTGTTCACAAAGCTCAATAACTATAGGAGAAGCTTTCTTCAAGGTATGCCTCTTCTCGCTCCTACAATATGTCTGTCCGGCGGGTCCTGCTGGTCAACCGATCTACGCTTCCGTGCATTGTAAGAGTAACCCTGACCGGCCGTGCAAGCAAGACGAAAAGTAGCAGAATGGCTACATGATCATAATCTTTATTTTTTTTGGAATGCGTTTTCCTTTAGCACCTCTCTTTTCTTCTTTCCTTCATTCTTTTCTCTTCATTCTGTTTTTCTTTTCTTTGTTTTTGCAAAGCAAACATTGCCCCCCAGTCGCCTTATGGAAGGCGCCGCGGCCGAAGCTGCAGCAAGAAATTCGTCGGTCGACAACCAACTATCCTTTAGTAAAGCATTTGTGACTGGTATTGTTGTTTGTTAACGCTAATATAAGCGCTCGCACGTATTTAGATTTATATCACGTGTGTAGTTACTTTTGTGTTGCGCACGAGCGCCGCCGCGATAAAGTATCAACACGGAGCTTGCTTGACGTTGCTCCGTTGTGCCATCGGTTGAAAATGGCGCCCATCCGTCTCATGCGTTTTACTCGGGCGGCGTCGTGGCCTGAGCATCGTTCACTCCGACAGTCTGACAAACCCAGCCCGAGAAGTCGACGTTCTCCTGTTCGCTCTGCTTGATCCACGGATGATCCATGAGAGTTTTGAGATCGCCACGTTCACTAGGATTGCGTTTTAAACTAAAGCCGAAAAAAGAAACGAAGCAAAACACAAAGAGGGTTAACGATGAAGACGCACTGAGGGTGATGAAGCATGAACCATGAATTTTTTGATGCGCTGATCTTCGAACAATTCGCTCCCGCCTTTTCGGAGATTCTCTTTCTAGTTTGGCTACCCTCTTACCATCCTTTTCCGTGCGTTTCCACCTGACCACCCCTATTCTTAGCTGCACATATACACTCACCTGCGTATGGTCAGAAACGTAATCCCCACGCAGCGCACCAGGACTTCATATCAGACTAACTATCGATAAGTACAGAGCTATCTTTTTACGTTCTTGTCGCCAGTTCCTTACAACGCAGCGTACAAATCGTCTACAAAGTGTTCCCGTCCAACGAGTAGATATTTGTGAGAACGTGTTGTCAATAAAAGCCGCAACCGAAGCGTTTCCTAGGCGAACTTTACGTTTTGTTGCGAAGCAATAGTCATTGTTTCGCTGGTCTAAACTAAATAATTGAACTGGGCAAAACGGTAGCAGAAGTTCCAATAAAATATTCGAGAGGCGTCAAAAGTGTTGCGTTTGCAATTTCTTTTGCACCCTAAATACTGCGGACATGATAATACACAAGTGTACCTTAGTAGTACACAGTACATACCTTTTCTATGCAACAGTCGCTTCTATTTTTTGCTATCAGCCTTGATAAACGAACGCTTACCATCTATCTACAAAGTCCTTGAAGTCGTCGCTAAAGACGCCCTGGGGTACGGTCGGTGGAGCTTCGTTTACAATATAATCGAGCAGCTCGAAGATGGACATCGTTGTCGGCTGCTGGTCTTGCGGGTTTGCGAGCGGGTTATATTGCGCCCCAAATATGGCTGACAATTCCTTGGAGTCTGGCGGCGGGATAGGGTAGCGTCCGATCGCCATCTCTACTAAAGAGAGGCCAAGCGACCAGATGTCTGATTGTACCTGCTCATATCATAAGGTTCGACACAGGGAGGGCAAATGCACGAAGGACTAGCTGAGACACGAGAAAACAGTACGGCTCCTAATGGAACCCATAATAAACGACACATTAAATGCTGAGATCACTTTTCAACCTTGTTAAAGCGATAAATTAAATGAAAAAGGTGAACGCGCAGCTTCCAACAGTTCGCCAATGGCTTAATTCAAACGCCCATTTCTCTATGAGGCCAGGCGTTTGAAAGAAAAAAAGGGACAACTTACAGGACTTAAGTAAAAAACACTTGTATAAAGGATGAATGAAGTTATTTTAGATTTAAAAAATTATTCAAGTGGGAGTAGATTTTATTTTTGTGTCTTCCTTTACCGTATAATGTGTGCCCTGCAACCGCTCAGGCGACATGTAGGAACGCGTTCCAACGAAAGAATTGGCCATCGAGTCGATTAACTGACCACTCACACCGAAGTCACAGATCTTAATCTCTCCGCGGCTGTTCACCAGCATATTGGACGGCTTTATATCCCGATGCATAATCTGGTGCTTCTCCCGAAGGTAGCTGAGACCTGCAACCATAAAAGGGCAAAAGCAACATCATCCGTTAGCTGACTTGGTCCGTCAGGGGAAGTGGCCATACAGGTAATCGCGTGGTTACACCCTCCAGGAAGATTGCTTGCCTATTCCTCCAAAAGCACCTACGTTTTCATTCTCAGCCACAGAACCCTTCAATGCCATATCACCTTCTTGTGCAAGCCTGCCTTATTTTCTAGTTCATTCTAAGTTCCCGCAGTCGTCACTCTCTCTTTCTTGTTAGCTTCTAGATTAGTTTACCCTTGCGAGCTAGGACGGTTTACAATTAGTAGCTAGGTTAATGCAGGCAGTGCGTCGAATGTTCTTCTAGCGCTGTTTCAGCAGTAATGTCTTTAGCTCTGTACCTTTTAGAACGGCGATTGTCACCTTGCCAAGAATATTCTCTGGTATCCGGCCGGCCTTCTTGAGGACAAGGTCGAGAGATCCACCGTCCATGTACTCCATACACACGTTTATCTCACCATCGCTGTAAAAAGCTCCATAAAAACCGACGATGTGTGGCGAATTGCACTCGTGCAATACCTTGAGCTCGCGAATGATCTGGTTGCGGATAGCAGGCTTCACTTCAAGGTGAATCAATTTCCGGGCCATGATTAGGCCTGTTGGCTTATGTAAAACCTGTATAGGGAATAGAGAAAGAAAGTGATTTGTAGCACACAATAATGATTAATTTGCTGAATCGGCCTGTGTCTTCTGATTATCAGAGCTTATTTAGAAGCCAGGCATTTGAGTCTTGTAATGGCGTAAGTTTGAGTTAAGAGCTGGTTTAGAAACAGGTAATGAAAAGCAGTCATAACAGACTAACTTACAGTTGTAATGTACTTAACGAAAGGGTAAGGAACGCGCAAACAGAGTCTGAGTAACTGAGTCTCTGTTAATATACCCTTTTCCCCTCCCCCGCCCCCTCCCCCGCCCCCTCCCCCTCCCCCGCCCCCTCCCCCCACATGCGCACTTGCCGATGCTCTTACATTAATACGAACAAACTTACTGCACCACACAAACAGCGTATCTGTACTAATTCTCATAGGTATATTTCTACCACAGAAGTTTATATAGGTAAATTATTCAGAACGTACTCATCGGATTATCCGTAAACGAAGCGATCGAGATGGAAAACGCAGATGTCTGAACTGCACACATTGTATGGGAGCTATTATTACGCTGCCAGATTATACAGCGGAACTCCGACCTCATAAGCCGAACAACTCTGAGATTTATATAGGCTAATTTCTGAATGTTCGACCTTGACACAGCGCGCATTTTTCGAGTTTCTATTTTTCTATAGTCTGCTCAATCGGCATTTTAATTAGATCGAACTCCGTTCGCAACTGTCACAATATACGCGCTTATAATGTACATGTATGCACTAATTCTTGCACACATGAAAATGGCTAGAAGAATCACGTTCTTCACCGCTGCTAAAAGTTAAAGCTAGCTATTACACTGAAGGATATTTGAGGCACCGAAAGCATCCTTTGAAGGCACGCGTAAAATTTTCGTCAGGCTATTGATCCGGGCAGCTTGTTTACAAATCTATATAATTCTCTAGCCTTGACCTTGACCTAAAAACGTTCCTTGTCGCACCATCGCTAAGTTTTTCTTGCTACTATTTTCATTCCGACGGGTCGGAACACTTCCGTTGTAACTTGAATGGACCCGTTGCTCGTTTCACGGATGATACCGCTATGACAGAGGCTGGTCTAGGATAACGATTGAAACTTGTATGAAACACGTGGTCGATTTAGCGATGCCTGATTGCACTGTTGTTAACCCCTTCAAAGTACAAACAATGCGTATAATAACAACCCTAGATGTGAATATTTATGCTTGTAATCTTTATAAAAATCCAAAGCCATCCCATTGAATCAGAGCCGCCTCATGCTGAGTGATCTTACTGAGAGCACGAGGCGACTTAGGGAGGCGAGAGGTAAATTACGAGGATATCATAGCAACACGTAAGATGACCCGGAGGATCCCTAATACTTTCTATGCACAACTAATATACGAATACGTCTACATATACCCTGCTTTTGGGTCAAGTCTTTATGTAAAACGCAGTCCAGATGAAAACGACAAGCCGCAAAAAGCAAATAACCTGCCGCAAAAAACTAATATTACTGGACAAAAACATCCAGTTAAATATTGCATTTTTTATTACCGTCAGAAGATATACTGCGTTCACACAAACAAACAAACAAACGTAGATCGGAACAGAACGAAGGGAAAACTGCTTAAAGAAAGCTGTCTGCCCTCATCTCGCCTTCTTCTATATCGGTATTCCTAGTGAAAGGTCGTTGCGCTATTTTTCCGACCTTTGAGGTCGTCTCCAACAGGATCTTGCCGCTGCTGCTGCTGCTGCTGCAGGACATAAGTAAACAACTGTTGTTTTTCATCCTGTTACATGTAGCTTTATCTCGAATAATGAAACGAGTTCGTCCTTCGAAAGCCGTCCCGGTTGAGCGTCTGTTACTACTCGTTGTTTCGAATCCAGCGATCGTTTGTTTATGCTGTCACGAATTGTTTAGCCTAACTTGAGTTAGCAGACATAATTTCGGCGCATCTAAGCACCGGGATGAGAGCTAGGGTTTAATCTCTTTAGCCGGGAAACGGACACGCTTGAGGACAACTGTTGGCGCCGACGTAAGCAAAAGTTGCAAGCACTCTGCGGTCGTTCAGAATGATGGCAGCGGGAGCATTGCCTGTATATTCGTTGTTATCTGCATTCACGGAGCCTCATAGTTTCGGAGTGCTGCTTCAGAATTACAGTAAGCGGGTCGTATTCGTTTTCGTCCGAGTTACAAGGGAAGCAATGCATTATTAACGGACGCATGTGGTACATTCTGGAAATCCACAGCCACACTGCTCGATACGAACGACAGCCGACTATTGCACTGTAGTGCAATATTCGTTGAAAGAAATACCGAGAAGAGAGAGAGCTATAACGTTTCTGAGTGGCATTCTTATCTGGCGGCTTTCAATGCTGTCGATAGCAGGGAGAAATACGTATACGCTAAAAGGTTGAAGAAATAGTCTTCGATTTCGCGCTATCTGCTTATGCTCGAGTTGTAGCAAATTCACCACGGGGTATAATAGAAGTGGCAATGGTCTTCTACACTAATATACTTTTCTTTTTAAAACTGTCCCATGATAAGGACATTTCCTTCAAAGGAAATATTCAGAAATGTTTCTCTAACAAATAGCATCAATATGCTATACTTAAGGAACAAGATTTCCATCAAAATAATCCACTGTGTAGTTATCAATTAGCCAGTACTAGAACAACAGATGGTTGAATGGCAAATTTCTATAATTTAACTGTAATATTGAATTGTCGCATGAGGAAACAAATTTGAGTTAACAGAATTTCTTAATTAATCTATGAAAAGTTTGGCATGTAAATTAGCGCGAAAACTTCTTCCTGCATCTGAAATCCACACGCTAACTTCGTCAGTAAAGGAAATCGAGAGTGTACGAAGTTTAGATGTATTCAAGAATCCAAACAGGCCAAACACTCATCCCGTTAGTCAAAGATGTATCACGCATACAGAGAGATATTCGTTCATGATTAGCAAAGGCCAAACTAAAATTTAAATGACAGAAAAGACGGTTGTAGGACAAAGAAAATCTAGAAAACGATGCACAGTTCTCAGTACACGTTTGTCGGGCTCATTCTATTCGGGTGTTGCTAAAAAATTAGAGGGTATATCCTATTTTTCCTGATTAAGGCTCTGATAGTTAGTCCATGGACACGATTGCATACGGATTAACATTGCGTACACTCTCGAACGCTGCCCCAGGAAATCACGAAGAATGATACTCATCAAATGGAAACGTAGTTTAAAGCAATGCAGTATATAGTGCCGTGTCTTGAAATATAAAAAACACGGGGCGCCCTCTTTTGACTAGGCGAGTGTAGTTTAAAAGTCAAGGTTTAATGTGACTCCTAAACTCCGAGACACATCCCGCCACAGTCAGCAACTGCGAGGAGAACACATTTGAAGCTTTAAGAATTCTTCGTCGTACTTTTTTGATTGCTAAAGACAACAGTTTTGGCAACTGCGGGTTCTTTCCCTGCCATGTAAGTTCGACTCAACGCTTCCCCATGACCACTTAGACATTAAAGCAACGAAGTAAAAGAGGCTGGCTTTATTCAGCGCGCACCCAGAGTTGCCCATACAACATATACATGCGATATTAGACTCCGCCAAGGGCACTTCCATATTGCCATCACGTAGGTCTCTGGGCTCGTTTCGCTTAGGGCGAATCTGTTGCAGTTTTTGATCTACTTGTTCACCTCTCCCGTTTCCTGCCACCTAACATACCCTACGACTAACCCTCTAGGTCGGCCGGTGCAAATTTCAAAGTTCAACGACCATTTTGGCGCTGCTTTCGGCCTCGCTTGCTTTGGACATTCCTGGCTTCCGCAGTTTCGTTTCATCCCACATGTTCGACTGCCACTACCACGATAACCACCAGAGAGCAAAGGTCTGCCTTGTCCTTGGTGCGTACAAACTTCATGTCTAGGTGCCTTGTCCTATTTCGCCTCCGAAATTGGCATTTGTCTGTGTCCTTTCTAACTAGCAAAACGATGGTCACCATTGTACACCGCACAAAACTTCCACATTAAATGTTTATAATCTACATTACGGTATCTGAGTTCCACAAATTGATAATCAGTTATTCAGCCTTCCCGAAAACGATAATCGTATGATTCACCGTTGATGAGTAATTTTGCCTAAGCAAGGTAAGCATATTTGGAATTTAATTAATAACAGAGTAAGTTGGTGCAACAGAGCATGGTACAATGTATAAAACGGTACAATCCTATATTTAAAAGCTACTCAAAAGGCGGCCATAATTCTTTTGAAAGTCTTATAGAGTTTCTAACAAAATAGTAAATCGACCGAAAAAAGTAAAATTATGTGAAATATATCCTGCGCATATGTTAGGAGTAGATCTGTTTAGTGAGAGCAAACGATGAGACCGTTAAGTTTAATATCTATGTCTGTTTGGTTATGCTCATCCAAGCGTTGGCGTGGATAGTTACAGGGTGGTAACTGTAAATATAATTATCGATTTTTGTTTAACGTTAACAGATATCATTGTTTTCCAGAGAAGCTATGAGTGATGCTTCCCTGTATCCATCTACATACTGAGTCTGCCTTGTAAATGTCACATCAGCCTTCAGACCAGGTCACTTCTCTATTTCTAGTTTCCTCTAGCTCTTCCATATAAACTCTCGTGTGAGCTCCTTTATTGAGGCTTGTCCAAAACAAAGTTATCGTTGTCTAATTGCATTGCCATTCTCTCGGTGCCTGCCTCCTACTAGACTTTTTGCCTACACGACCGAAGAGAGCTATTAATCGGCCTTACCACTGTCGTACACAAACAGACTAACTCGTTGCCTCTGTTTCCTGTCAGCAGCGGCCTCTTATGTTTTGAGACAGCCAATATGGTTTCAGCTACACAAACATTTGAGCTTTCCTGTAGGAGTAGCCGCCATTCATCAAGTTGGTCCCGTTCCGATGGTGGTGTGGGGCCATTATTCATACCGTCTTGATGCTCGATACGGCTCCTACTACTCAATAAAGCTTTGCCCAAGGAGAATCATCAGCCTCGTTCGTTCTCTTTATTCCGTGCGGTCATTTTTATAATGTGCTAGCTGCGCTCGTGACAATAGCGTAACAAACTGCATACGCTTCAGGCCCTCAGCAGCAACTGTGTACGTGCTTTACACATGGTAATAGAACTGTACTTTGATCTTACTAATTCGATACCGCTAGTGAGTAAGGGCCAAGTAGCGCGGTTGTTGTTAATCGAAGACCTTCTAACCTTGGTAACAACGCCTCCATTGCCAGCGCCGAGCTCTCCGAGATTCTCGAAATCTTCCGCGGTCAATTCGCCGACCTTCTGCTTCTGGCTGAGGAAAGCCTCGAGCCTTTTGCGCTGTTGATCATCGATGTCGAGTCCTTCAAGGGTGCGCCGGAGTGCTTCCAAACTCGTGTCGATTTGTCGCGTTCTGTAAATAGGAAATTTAAGAACTACATTTAATAATTGTAGCGGGTAGTTTTGTCACCTTGTTTAGCATACAAATGCCACCCATAAAACCGCCAATCAAGCATTTATTCAAGCAACCTATTCCTGTTCAAAACATTGCAATGAGTTTCACGTTTGGTATTGCCAGTAGACCTTCCATGAAACAGAAACTATATGCCCGAACTTACAGCACAACGTGTCCCTACGATTAACATACGAATACAAATTTAGCCACTAATCTAACACGGGGAAACGTAAAAACGAGTAGGATAACTTTATTACGTTACGTGAAGACTAAACATTTTTTGCTAAATTTAATAGCTTTTTTAGAATAGAACAGAATAATCTACTGCGACTAAGTTACATTTGAGAAGCCATATGATTTCCACGTTGGTTTGTATTTAGACTATACGCCTATAGTTTCATGGTGCTGAGCAACTACTCACGAGTCATACTGTAAACTCTCGTACGCCACCACTAATTCATGTGGCTTCGAACTTCTTTCATGAAAGCCGTTCCTATTATTATTCTCAATGACGATAGAAAGGGCCAAGAGAAACCAGTGAGTTATTGACTTTCCTGTACTGTACCCGTTAAGAGCTGGGACGGTCATAGGAAAAGCCTGTTGCCGCTATCGGGACGCTCAGAGGAAGACAAATCTCTGCTTTTTCTCGATTGTGCCGTTCACATTCGGTCGAGCGCACAGAATCGCTTAAATTTGAGCCAGCTTGTAAATGCACTCTCCTTGAGTCATCAGACCCTCAACCACCTTCGCTTCCAACGTCTGCGCCTCATCAGATTTATAAGATTCACTCCTGACATTAGTTTACAAGCTCGATGTGCTCATCGAAAATGGATTTGCATATTTCAATAAAACGGTTTGGATTTGGACGCATACGTTCCACTTCTCTTCGTGTATGCTGTTATTTACATAGAGTAGTAATGATAATAGACATACTTTGCCTTCTATCCCTGGACGTTTCACCGTTGCACTCCATCTTCTCGTTCTAAGGGAATTACCCGTGCTGCTAGATGTGGTTATTTGTATTACTTCGTTTAAATAGGCACTGCGGCTGAGCATGCCGCACGCCAGTGCAGAGTCGTTGCCCCGAACAGCAGCTTCCGTTATCGAAAGAGACACGTATTTTCAGTAATACTATAGGCAGCGATAACAACTAGGTTTTGTAAAAAGCAAATTTTTGGTAATGATTAATGCTCGTACAACGTGAAACCGTTGTGGCGAATTCATTTATTGATAATTATGGTTTAGTGAACTGATCTGGAGGTGAGACCGGCTGAATGTACGTGTACGACCATTCAGCGCACGCGGTAATCGATTCGCTGTACTTTGCACGAATTTTTTCCGGTACAGTTATGAGGTAATACATTCTAACCGAGTCCTCGCAAGGGAAGGAACTAGCAAGCTTTCTTGAGCATAGGCTGGCTGCCTATATAGCCCATACCAGACAACGCTTACACGGGTCTTGTTTATAAAAGCAACTCCGGTAGTTAAGTTACAAATACTCCTCGAGGCTACCTGTCTAATAATATAAGCCCCTTCCGTATCCTGTATGACCTCTTAAAGGTTTGAGATTCATGTGATGCGAAGCAATAACACAGCTCGCTAGCTAGGAAGCCAGCCCGATTCGGCAACTTCCTAGTGGAGGCTAGCTCCGTACATGCTAGAGCCAGATCACGATGCGCCCCAGGGCCGTAAACTGTTTAGAGCCTTCTCGACTGCTTGTAAATGAATGTTCACTAAGCAAAGGCCGGAGATTAACATTGTCTTAAATCCTAATCAAGGACAAGCTGTAAATTCGACTCTGTTGGTTGCCGTTGCTTCGGGTTCTGTCCTTGTTCGTTGTTTCCTGCCTGCTCGCCGCCCACTATACTTTACTGCTAACTGGTAGCCGATGATCGGCAGGCCAAGGCTTTTGCTTCGTTTCTGTTCGGTTCGAACCGGCGTTGTCTCCCCAGTGGCCCGGTTATCGACCCGAATGAACGTGTCGAGTTGCTTCTGCAAGAGGAAAAACGGCAGAGAAACCAAAAGAGGGAAAAGACAGAAAAATACAATGGCGACAAGATAGCCCTGGGTCGCATCCGATCAGACATCGTCTTCCAGAACGCTTAATGAAAGCAATTCGAAAGGAAAAGGGATCGCACACTCGCAGATACTTGAAACATCAAGAAGCGAGGCACGACCCTCCATCGTCCATCCCGTTCCGAAGTCCGTTCTTTCATTGGGTCGCCTGAAGGGCTCTGAAGTGACAACATAATAGTAACACTCGGCGACCCGGGTGTCTCAGACCAGCCCCAGATCCCTGAGTGTTCCACGCACAGCGCTTGCTCCACCCAAACCACGGTCATCTCATAGACCTCAGATCAGATAGATAAAATCGATAAATGAATGAGCAAGCACGAGAGTTTACGTTCCGACGTTGCTGGTTGTGATTGGGTGCGCGGGGGATCGATCTAGTTTGGCTTTCACCTGGTAAGATACATTCGTGATGAACAAAAGCCAATGGGACGAATGATATTAGTTATGACGGCGGATGACATGAATCGTCTTTATCATAACTGTCTCAGTCCAGGTAGTATTCCCTAGCACTGCTACGTATCACGTTAACAGTTTTCCGCTCATATTAGGCATGATATGTTTAAAACGTTTACTTCGCAGTAACAGTTTCAGTCAAATAAAAGGTCTAGAATTGAACTTCTTCTTACATAAACTCTAGAACAGCCTACGCATGCATAATTAGGACAACTCAGACGGGATTCTCGTTGTCATGTAAATAAGACTAATAGATAGACACAGCCTAAATCGTTGATCAGGGTCTTTCAGTTGCGTATAGTGCGTAGTAGGAAAAAAACAGTGAACCGTCATTGCTTATGCGTTCATTTCACGGGTCAACGCTTGATCGCTCATTTACTTTAAGCCTTTTGCAACCAACTCTTAAAACTGATAACTTTGTCCGTATCATAATCGCCATACGTACATTGGGCTATAATGGCCGACGGTCGTTAAACAAAGAAAAAAACGTATCCTTATACAGTGCAGAAAAGCTGCCGACGCGCCTATAACATTCTAATTTGTAATATAATCCAAAAGCTAAACAGCGCTATTACTTTGATGAGACTTTTGTTTGTCTCTTAAAAAAGAGCTGCTTCTTATGGCCAAAATCATTGTGAACTCGTGAAATGCCTCAATTTGGCTGCTATATAGGTATGTTTCATTCGTAAATTGTTATGTAGAGATAAATCTCTAGAGAGCTATAAATCATATCAATTAATTTGAATTAAAGCAATTATCGCTTGGGTAATGTGTGTACTGTCAGGTATACAAAGGATGTGATAGAGCCACGAAGAAAGAAGGCCAGCAACTTCCACCGAGCTTTTTTCTCTTGCTCTTCCTTGTTCTCCTTTGGCTAAATACACAAAGCGCTTATTTGCAAGCGTACGGATTATTGGCAGATTTTGCACCGGGACTGCTGCTGTTGTTACTCACCGAGTTATTTAGAAATTGGGGAAACAAGTCCAATGGAAAATCGATGAGGGAAGCAGAAACTGTTGGGAAGCTTATATCGGTCGAAGATATGACTGATTGGTGCTTCCATCGTGCTAACCATTGTACGAGGCATGAGTGGCTGTTGGATGGGATAGAGCTGTAAGGCCACTGTGACTTCAGTCATCAAGCGGACTCTCCCCTTTCGGCATGTGGCTTCGAACCGTCTATTCTTCGTCTCGCCTTCCACCTGCCCCAAACAACATTTCGCTGTCTTACACGTCTTACTGCCCCCAGCCCAGGACGAGCCAGGGACAAGTAGCAGCTAGCAGAAGACCTTGGTTGCCGGCAGGTAGAAGCAGTAGCGGCGACTGCAGCAATAGCACACAGCACTCTGTCTGCCGTAGCATGCTGCACCGCAGCGCACAGCATTGTGCCAGTCATTAATTCACATCCACGAACAGGTCCGACCATCCAGGCCCGCGTCCGTGTCGGCAAACATTCTCTCTGACACTGAGGGGCAGAAGCGCATTGCATTTGTCCTCAGGCATTCTCTCTCACACATACCTAGACACAAGTACGCTCAACGACAAGATCGCCGGCAGGACCGAACACAAGCACACAGTGGATCTATAGTACATGTATACACAAGGTTGATTGGTCTACAGCTTCCATCCTCCTACCTATAGAACGGAGGAGGAACGTTCTAGGTGGTGCAGCTTATGCCGCCAACAACAGGGGCCTGTGCAGCAAGGCTACCTGCAAGATCGTCTGCCTTTTGAGATACGTGGACAGCAAAGGACTAGCTCTTACTGCTCTCTTTTTCTTTCTTTCTCTTTCCCCTGTTTACGTAAAGCCTGGCAAGTATCCACAGGCAATAGCTGCTGACAAGACGTGTGATGCTCGTTCTTGTCTTAGCCAAACTGTATGCTGTACATTGGTCTGGTCTGCTGCAGGATATATTACAGTAAACCTACCTACAGCCGTCTAAAACACCTACCGCCCCTTATAACTACAATAGAGCAAAAGGGGGTTGGACGAACGGAGCAGCTGCTTTACAACTGAGTCTGAGTAGACAAGTTGGACCGCAAGCTAACCGAGCCTAGCAAAGAAGAGACCACCAACGATGGCCAGGAAAAGCCTTGGCAATTGCAATAGGAAAAATACACAGTGGGATTAGGATAATAAGGCCACCATGGGGTCAGAAACGACTGCTAATAAAAGGCCGTATCTCCTAATAAGGCCGGATCCACTACTGCTAGTATGTGCGTGCAGTGTCCGTCGTCAAGTGCCAAGCATGTAGGTCTGAATCTCTATAGCGAGCTCAATCAAAAAGCCAACAGATTTATTTTATAAAAATAATTTTTCGATACGATATACGAATTAAATGAACCTATTCAATGATAAGAATACGTGAAAGGAGATATAGAAGTCTATAGCATGCCATGCCTCTTTTAATTCTTCGACTTGTCAATAAGACT